TACTTGTAGCGCAAAATCAATCAAGAGCAAACACATGCACTTGATTTTCTACACTCGCGCGGTCTAAGTCAAGTCTACTACTCCAAATTCTAATCGCACTTTTATACTCCATGGGTAAAACCTACTCTGATACCAAACAGGCTGTGACGCTCCAGAACATCACGCGTGATACGTGCCAATTAATATTATTAATAATTTTGCCAGCGGATGTCAAAGTCTGAACAAGTACTAAACATGAATATCGCACATGTTTAACCAAAATACTTTTGCTTCTTATTAACAACCCCTGTTAGATTTACAAGCCCAGATCAAACATCATACAAGTACAAAAAACAAAAGTTTAAGTAGGTCGAGGGTCCCTATCTCCATACTAGACTTATACTCCAAAAGTCTGTCTAAAAAAAAGTATGAGAATGTCATGGATCAATAACTTCGCCTTCCAAAGCGGAATCACCATCGTCTAAGTCAAGCCCCTCAACGGGCCAACTAACTCGCCATCAAGGTTAAAGTACCATGTAATAAAAAGGTAAGGAACCCATTCCGCCAATCCCACGTCGACCCAAAGAGTAGAGCTACACTTAGTATATACTGCTGTAGACTCAGGCACAAACACATTTTTATAGACAGTTTCATGATATACGGGAACTCCAAAACGTAGGGGCTGAGGAACATCCATCCTACAAGTCTGAAAAATAATGGGATGAGCCGAGACCCAGCAAATGAAATTTAGGAAAACCCATTTGCCACTTCACCTGGCATAACCAACATGCATGCATAACAAACGGCATGCATAGAACTTGAATGCATGTTATACCTTTTCCGTCTGGATGTGGCATAAAATATGAGCAATGCCACATTTCACAATACTTTCACTCAAACGCAAGCATATAATGTAAAACATTCATGTTATGCGTTAGGTTCATTATTTCATCCTCTCAAACACTCCCGGGGCATCCCGACCAACGGGGCATCTTGACTCCGAGGCATCCCGGTACACCCTCCGGGGCATCTCGACTCCCGATGTATCCCGAAACACTCATCGGAGCATCCTGACACACGGGACATCGTCACACTTCACTATATGGGCGACGGAATTTATATTATTCTCATGCAAGCTATGACAACCAAATATTTGCATGCATATATATTCACCTTCTTTTTACATCACATATCCTTTAAAGCCATGAAATGCATCATTCGAGATAATAAGTATGAAGCAATACAGATTCAGATTCAAAAGACTAAAGTGAAAGTACACATATCCAGATTTTGAGATAAAACTTCCTCAGTTTAGAAAATACATTTATCCAGACTTTAAAAGTAAAGTCTATCCGAGTTTAAAATACATGCATCCAGACTTTGAAAATAAAGTCTACTCGGTTCAAAATATATATATCCCCGACTTTGAAAGTAAGTTTTGGTCAGTTTTAAAAATAGACAGAATTAAATTTTGACTGTAAAGTCTGAGCAGTTTTAAAAGTAAAGTCTGAGCAGTAAAATCTGAGCGGTAAAATCTGAATGTAAAGTCTGAAGGTAAAGTCTAAGCGGTAAAGTTTGAACGTAAAGTCTGAGGGTAAAGTCTAAGCGGTAAAGTATGAAGGTAAAGTCTAAGTAGTAAAATTTGAACAAAAAGTCTGAAGGTAAAATCTGAACGTGAAGTTTGAGCAGTTTTAAAAGTGTATATGACCATAATTTGATATTAAAATCTGTTCAGCTCAGAAGTAAACAGAATCAGAATTTGAGGTTAAAATCCGTTCATTTCAGAAGTAAATAGGATCATCATTTACACTCGCCTAATTAACACCACTCTGAGTAAAGCGATTTTCTACCCTTTTAAACATACATAAAACCAGTAAGAAGAATTCAACAAGCACCTCAAAGATAACATTTACAGGTTCAAATTTAACCATTTCACTTGCTGATTTTCACCACACTTTAAGGAAACAAATCCCATCCATTTGAACATGTACAGAACCAGCGAAAACATATTCAACTATCACCATATCCTCACTATTATCACACATCATAATCGCATTTCTCAAGCAACCAAGTTAAAAAGTGTCAAGTAGATTTACTTAGCTTAAATCTAGAGTCTTCACTTACCTTGTGTAGAATTTGAACATCCAAAAGTTAAAGCTCTCCCATAGATTTTGGATCGAGTGATGGTGAAAGCAGAAAGTGAAGAATGGAGTTACGGCTTGGGGTAAAAATTCCCTTTGGTGTTTCCCCAGATAAAAATGAGATAGAGGAGTAGACGTTGAGGTGGATAAATACATTGTACTCACAGGTGGCACCTTCTCTTTCCATCACGGCCAGGTATAAGAAATCAGGGCTTATTCGGTAGGAGTAATGGCCAAGGAAAATGATTGCTTAGGCTATGTGTCAAACTAAAAGCTTGGTTTAAGAGGATAAGTGGCTTGTTTCATCCTTCATAGGCCACGTGAGAATGAAGGTCTGAAGAGATATTTTGGTGAGGAATTAAGAAGAAAACAGAATATCTCCCCCCTTCCTTTTATAACACCAATTAGAAATATTAAAAAAATGGTTAATACTACTTAACAAAAAATTAACCAATAATATTACCCACTAATGGTAAATTAATTAATATTGCACTACTATTAACGTACACAACAACGTTTAAAATTTTAAACACATCGAGCTCGGAACGATTACGTTCCCGAATCCGCGCCTCGCAATTTATGGTCCAACAACGATTTCTACGCGTCCGCATGAATACTAACTTAAATAATACTTAGCTTTATTATCTAAGTATCATTTTCGAATATGAAAAGCTTCCAACATCACATACATATTATTACGAAATTTCCAGATATTACAGCCTAGGCGACCATGTGACCCCAAGCGGCCGTCGCGGCCCCAAGCCTTGTCACCTGGGGTCGCGCAACACCGGCGATGGCTACTTGGGTCACGCGACAGCCGCCTAGGTCACGCAATCTTGCCTCGTCGCCCAGGGTCGCGCGACCCCAACAAGGGCCGCTTAGGGTCGTGCGACCCCCGAAGAGGGTCGCACGACCTCGGGCAACGACCGCTGGTGCTAGGTTTGGCTGGCCTATGGCCATAGCCCATCGCCGGCTCCGACGAAGGGTTTGCTCTACCTTTTTTAATAAAAAAAAAACTCAAAGCCCATTGTAATAAAAATATATTCAAACATTACTTTGGCCAAAGTACCTTTACAAAAAAAAATTTATCAAACGCAATTTGCATTTCCTTAAAGGGCTTTAAGTTAAAGGTATTTGCATTTCCCCCAAGCTCATTTGCAAAGTCAAACCAAACGGGACCTCTAACCCCTAGCTGGGGTCGCACACCTAACGGCGGCTCGCGAGTGTTTCCTACCCTTGCCACTAGCTCTGCCTCTTCTTCTATCTTTTTCTCTCTTAGGTTTTGTTTTGTTTTTTTAAAATTTTTAAATTTCTAATTTTTAATCAACTTAGTATATAATTATAGATCAGTGCGAGCGTGGACCGTGCCATTGATGGGTCAGCCGATGTCGTTTCTTTTATAACGAATGAACAATTTCATATAAATAAATATATAATTCAAGAATTCAATCGTATAGAATGAAAGTTTAGGAATCTAATTGAACAATTTACGAATATATATAATGCTCAGTTGACCTTTATCATTATAAATAAAATCGATTTCGTACAAATAAGAGCAACAAGTTAATTTTTTATTTGCTTGAGAGAGGAAAAAATTGTCACTTCTAAGAGATTTCAGACATTGATAGGATAAGATATAAAATTAAGGAATTATATTGTATCTCATTCACAGTTTTGTGAACGTAGTAATAAAGCTGGATATTTTCACATCCTATCATGTCCATTGTTTGGTATAAACGATATATTAGCATAAATGAACTTAAAAATGTACAAATGAAAATTGTAAGAATCTCTCGTGATTCATTGCTAATAAAACCACATTTGCACAAACAACATAACCTCTGTCAATCAATCTATGATTATTGTACTATCTAAATCTTAAATAGGGCAAAAGCTCATTGCAACATTCTAGAGTCGCAGATTTGACTACGACAATAAATATAAACGGGTTACAGCAACACTGAAGAGGTATATCTACCGGCGAATGCCAACTCTAGTAAAGAGATAAAATATGATCATTGACATTCATGATTCCGAAATGTTTATTGTTTTGACTCTCTCGTCACTTTCGTGAAATTTCAACGCGAACCGCGAAACTATGGAGGAGAATGAGTTTTGACTTTCTTGCTGCTTTCGTAGACTTTTGATATAAACCAAAGAGCTGTCGACGAGGGGAAGTTTCGACTCTCTCGCCGTTTGACGTGAATAAAAAAAATAAGGAGGAGTCTTGAAGTTTCAACATGAACTAAAGATATAAAAGAGAAGGAGACGAAGACTATAGGGTCTTTTCAAGTTTGAGTTTGTTGATTTAAAATTTAGGATCTTGTACTTCATTTTCATTTACTTATTTTTTCCCTCTCTTTTTTATTATTTTTTATTCCCTTCCATCATTCTCTAACAAAAGATTTATTAAATAATAAACTATATTAATATACCTAAAATATATAATAGATATAGACACTAATTATACATATAAAAAATATATTATAGAATAGAAAGTGATTCAAATATATATAAAAGTATTTATTTTTTATATTAGAATTCAAATATAATTTATATATAATTAAAATTAAGATTTTAATATTTTTTTGTGAGGGTAATTTTAATAGTTCAAGAAGTGTGTTATTCGAGAAAAATAACTTTTATTCTGTAGATATAAAAATTATATTTACCTTTATCTCACTCTCCCATGAGATATTATTTATTCTGATTATTTCTTCTTATATCCCGCTTTGTCATATCTTGAATTGAAATCAAATATAGGATACACTAAACTTTATCTTATCCCGACTACGTAAGTAGCCTCGAGACACAACAGCAAAAGAGTGTCTCCCTAGGGACAAAAGAGACAAATCGCATCTGACTTCCCGGATGGCAATTAGATTCGCGTCTCCGCCACCGTCACGCCCACCACAACCCGATCGCGCTCACTACCGTCACTCCTCTTCTCCATAACATGGGCTCCCGCTTCTCCGTCGACGGCGCCGATGACGACCACCACCACCTCCGCTCCCTCGTCGCCGAGCAACACCGCGAGCTGACGGCCGCCCAAACCCTAGAATCGGACCTCGACCTCGCTTACCGCCTCCAGCTCGAGGAGGCCTTGGCCGCTTCGCTCTCTCTCCTCCCCTCCTCCTCCTCCTCCTCCTCCGCACCCCCGCCCCGAGCCCTAGCCCTAGCCCCGCCCGTCGATGTCGCCTCGCCCTCCTTCGCCTCCCTCCAGTCGGACGAGCTCTCCAAGTTCCAGCGACAGCTCAAGGACCGCGAGCTGAGCGAGACCGAGGCGAGGCTCGTCAGGGAGGATCTCCACCGTCGGATCCACGATCAGAAGGTCGCCACCGAGATCATGACCATCCCCGACGATGACTGGGACGACTGGGGAGATGAGTTCGAGCGGCCTTTCGGCGAGGGCTCCTCCAAGGATCGCCGCGGCGGCGGCGGCGGCAGCGACGGTGATGTGTTCAGATTGTATTGCAAGGGTTTGGTGAGCGACGAGAGGGTCGAGGGGCAAAAGTGCAATACCGTTTTAGCGGGGGTCGGAGTTGCCGTTTGCGATTTCAGGGGGAATTTGATATTCGAAGTGAGGAAGCCATTGGTTGGGCCCGGGACGAGCAAGAGCAAGGTTGTGGTTGAGACCAAGGCGCTGGTCGAAGGGCTTAATGCTGCTTTGGGGTTGGAGTTGAAGAGGATCGTGTTCTACTGTGATTACTTCCCGCTTTTCCAGTTTGTGAGTTTCTCCGTCTCTAGTTTCTGCGTTTCTCGTCATTCAATTACTTATTTCCTTACTTGAATTGTATGTTTTGACCGCCACCCAATCTTCACACGGTGCGAGGGAGGTGCCTGTTTTGGTTTTCTTTATAGAGAATTTCCAAAGTTGAATTCTTCACTTCTTTATCGTTCTGTATTGGTCTACCTTCTCTTGTTGATCGATTGAAAATCCGAAACGTTGATCAAGATGAGCGCAATCTTGAAAACGTACCTGCGCCATTTGCATGGCTTTGTTGGATCTGATTGTTACTTGATGAGGTTAAAGGTATGTTTCCAGGCGTAATTAGTGTTTATCTGGCTTATAATTATACCGCGTCTTGGGGAAATCTTCTACCCAACTTCTTCTTTAGCTGAAGCAATATCTGATTATATGATAGAGATAAATAAAGCTTTACACGTGAGTTATTTCTATAGGTGTAGCAGATGGCAAAGATGGTACATTGTCCTGACTCCTGACCCCACTTCAAATTATTCTAGTCTTTGTTTTGCAATTATGAAGGTTCAAATCATATGGCTTTACCAGAATACTCATGGACATAAATGTTTTGATTGACATTTTGGTTGTTTGTGTGGTTTGTGGTATCTCTTTTGATGTTTAGTGTTTCTTTTTCTGTCTTCGTGCTTTATAATTCACTCTCTATTCATTTATTTATCAAAGACTGAAGGTGCCTCCATGAATCTAAGCAGAAATAATTATGGTAACCTCCTACATTAGTACCTGGTTCGATTCATCGTAAGTATACAATCTAATCACTAATGTGGTCGACGTTACAATGTAGATTACTCGTAGATGGACGCCAAAGCAACGCAAGGTTGCGGTGTTAGTTGAGCAAGTGATTCTTCTTAGAAGAAAATTCGATCAGTGCAATTTCTTGTTGATAGCACGAAATGAGTTCAAGTTTGCCTTTAAACTTGCAAGAGATGCGATAACTTCCCAGATTGTGAGGCACGCAGACGGTGTTGCCAGCAAGAATCCGAAGGAGACCTGTGTAATCTGTTTAGAAGATACTGATGTTAGTCAGATATTTGCGGTTGATGGATGCTTGCACCGGTATTGCTTTTCTTGCATGAGACAGCATGTAGAGGTGAAGTTGCTCCATGGTACGGTGCCAAGATGTCCTCACGAGGGATGTAAAACTGATCTTAGTGTCAGCAGCTGCAGTAAATTTTTGACACCCAAACTAATTGAGATGATGACCCAGCGGTTAAAGGAAGCCTCAATCCCTGTTACAGAGAAAATATATTGCCCTTATCCCACGTGCTCTGCATTGATGTCAAAAACTGAAGCTTCAGAATGCTCAACCACTTCCGTTTTAGGTGTTGCAAGATCCGGAGCAAGGAAATGCATAAAATGTCATAGACTCTTCTGTGTCAATTGCAAGGTTCCTTGGCATAGTAGTTTGACATGCGTGGCCTATAAAAAATTGCATCCTGATCCTCCTGCTGAAGATATAAAGCTGAAGTCTCTTGCTTCCAGGAATCTATGGCGTCAATGTATCAAATGCAATCACATGATCGAACTTTCTGAAGGCTGTTACCACATGACTTGCAGGTACTTAATTCCCATGAGTGACCTGCCTGGTTGGGTTGATCTTTACCTGGGGTATCTTCTAGCCGATATGCATAATGGCAAGCTTTGCTGCTCGATAGTTTAATGCCTTAGGTTTATCGTTTAATGGTGAAATCTGTTTTCCGCTAATCTATGTGATTGGAGCTTCAGTGGTCGTATTCATGCTTTTGTTATTACACGCAAGTAGTAGAAGTAGGGACTATGGATATCAAAGACGATGCTTATAAAACTGGACCACACAGGCTGGTTCAACCTGTTGAATGAAGAATCGGACTATGTTCCGGTGACCAGAATGGTCAAGAACCGGTCAGACCTCATGTTGACCCGGTTTGACCGGTCAACCAGTTTGAGTGGATCTTTGACCTTCTTGAAGATAAGAGAACAAACCCCCCTCTCTCTCCCTCTGAATTAGAATTTCATATTAAGAACAAGGGTCCCGTGGTCAAGGTCTTTACTTGAGTTGGAACGAAACTGCTGTTGACAGAGTGCTTATAGTAGTTGCGGGGGAAATATGCATCTTAAGATTATTCTAAGTTTGCAACGGTCTGTTGCTAGATTATGCCAGAGAAGGTAGATATAGGCTTAAGGCTTTGCATGCCAGTACCTACAGATATTAGAAAGGCCAATGTGGTAGCACTAATGAATCCTTTTCTTTTTGCTAGCAACCAGTAAATGCTTATGCAATTTCCCTAGTGCTTGAAATTGGCAAAACATTTGACTTGGGTGATTTGGAAATGGTCAGGCTGCTTTATTCAAACTTTCTTTTTGCTCCCTGTTGATATATATATCAACCTCAATGTAATTTATTGCTCCAAGATTTGTGTTGGAGTTGGAATGTCTAGCTTCTGATTAATTGCCACTGAAATTTTGAGTGTCCATACTGTTTGGATAATGCTCCAAAAACATAATTTAAGTTTGTGGTTTGCTTTTTATCTTCTATATCTTTTGTCAGTCTTTTTTTACAAACTCCAAAAATCTCACTTAGCATTTCACCCTTGCAGATGTGGTTATGAGTTTTGCTACAATTGTGGTGCTGAGTGGAAGGATAAAAAACCTACTTGTTCTTGTCCGCTGTGGGAGGAAGACAATATTTTGTATGACGATGACCGGGATTTTGATGATGATGATGATGATGAAGATGAAGAAGATGAAGAATGGTATACTGACTCGGAGGAGGATTATTTGTTCTGAACTGCTACTAATAATATTTATTCTCTCAATACTTGCCTTTTCTCAGACGGGATATGACCTGTTCATAATTGGCAAACCTTGACGTGTATAGTTAGGTGGGACGCATTCTGTTTTTTCATCTCTTTTGCTGGACAAATACTTTGAAATAACGATTGAGCAATTCAATTTGCAAGCATATGGATTGTAAAGAATGAGTGAGTAAAACATATGCTTCCTGCATTGCTTTGAGATAAGGTTGGCTTTGAAATGAATGCCGAGGCTCGAGAGCACCCCGGTGAGAGAATCAGCAGGGAAGCCAAAAAGAATGTAAGGAGAAAGGGAGAAAACGAAGAAGAGATTGAAGATTTCTGAGATAGCTTGGAAACTTGCTGGTTCATGGAGACGAACAGAAGATGGTTTCTTTTTGCTTGGCAACTGATGGTGTTGAAAGTTATCTTATATGAGAAGTTATGGAGAATCTATTTATTGTGCTTGCTTTTTCAGACGAAAAATTAGTAAATTTGACAGGTTGAAAAAAGCCAGAAGTCACTGTAGAAGTATCGGTTCACGATAAGAGAAGTTATTTACTATAATAAGTAATTGATAGATACTTCTAGAAAAGACTTTAAAGTTTCGTTTATTTCGCGAAAAATAAATGATTCGAAAAATATTTCTTAAAAATGATCGCTTATATCGCTTATAAAAATGAATGAACGAAAGATATTTTAATCATTTACGAAATATTTAAACATAAATTGTTATTGATAATGAAAATATTTTTCATAACTAATTATTTTAAGTGATACAAGTGTTTTTTTTAGAAAAAATATTTTTTAAATTATTTATTTTTCGCGAAATAAATAAAAAGACTTGTTAATTGAACACTTATGTATGTATTTAAAGTTTTACTAATGCTCGCAGTGTTAATTGATGTTCCTGGCTGAGCCGAAGCTCGAATGGTAAAACACGTTTTTGTTTTTTTGGTAGTTTGGGTGATTCATGTACAAGATCTCTATAAGTCCAGAAACGTATCTCATAACCCGTTTGGTTGAAGTAATGAAATAAAATTGTAATGTCACAACCTGAAATTTTCCATATAATTTGAACCAAGCAGTTGGACTTATTCGTGATGATTTAGACAATTGGATTGCTGGATTCGCGCAAATAGTAAGATTGTGCTCTTTGCGCAAAGCACAACTGTGGAGCATTTACTTAGGCCTCAAATTGGCAATTCTTTAGGTATCACCAAACTTACTGCAAAGGTGGACTCGCAAGCAACCATTTCTTTGTTTCAAAAATCAACTTCATTGCTTCATTTTGGTGAGGCTCATTTATCAAATTAGAAGTATGCTCATATATTTTTAGCAGATCGAGATTCTCTATAATTTTAGAGAGGCAAATACATGTGCGGATTGGCTAGCAAATTAGGTTATCCAATTCAACAATGCAAATGATAATCAACAATGCAGTTGAAAAGAGAAGGTATTCACGGAACCACTTTTACAACTAGACATGTCAAAATGGATCATAAACTCATTTCTTAACCTATATATCATTAAATGCGTTATAAATGGGTTAGTTATATTCACTAAATGGGTTATAAATTGGTATAAGGTGTTAAATGGGTCATAAATGAGTTTACAATTTATTTAAACTCAACTCATTTCTCTCGTCCTTACTCAATTTCCCGCTCACTCACTCAGCATTCTCATCTTAGTTTGGGTATGATCTTTCCTAGATTGAGTTAAATTTGGAAGTGTTTTAGCAATATGGATCGGGTAGGGTATGGGTCATTAGATTTTTTTTACATGGAAATGGGTCAAAACCAGTTAAATGGGTCTATTTGAATTGGATCATTTTTTATCCGGTCCATCCGTTTGACAGGCCTAATTACTACCTAGCTATAACATAACTATAACATATGGAGGGTCACCTTGTAATAAAAGCTACTCTGTAATGGCTATTACTTGTGAGCAAACACCGTAATATTTAGACATGTAATAAACCAATAAAGTAAAGCATTGCTGCAATCATATACGTTGTTAATGCCTCATGGTTTTCGCTTTCTAGGCCCTAATGGCATCTTTGTAATTTCAACAGAAATTGAGGCCATTTTAGAGTGAATCCAGACAGTGATGTATGGACCATCGGGGGCCACACTCTCAGCCCTTTTTCTCCCTCCAAAGATATTATGAGATTTAAAACCATTTGTGTTTCAGATAAGGGTACGAGATCGCCGGTCGATCAAATAATCTTCGGTCAACATTTTTCCGGCTACAAAAATAAGGGTAATTTTGTCCAAAATTTACAATTGGGTAAAAAAAAAAGAAAATCCCCGAATTAAATTTAAATTAAGTTTTTCATTCAACTTTTCACTTTTCTTTCTTCCTCTCCCGCTGCTCCTCAAGCAAATCTCTCCTTTGCCCCATCCTCGGCCGCTTCACGCTCGGTCCTCGCTGCTCCTCACCCGATCCTCCTTGCTCCTTGAGAGCTTCAGTCCGTCGTTTGCTCTCCGCCATTGTCTCTTTGTTCCCAGGTTCAGTTGTCCGCGAGCTTCAAGTCCTTCGCGAGCCCATGCTTATCCACCTGTTTAATTATTCATCACGTCTTCATTGGATTCTTCTTTCGTTTGTGATTTCAGAAACGGCTTTCTGATGTTACAGGAAGCGGAGGCTTGATCTTGTCGGGGGCAATGGCGCAAGGTGGTCCTTCATCAAATGGTTTGTCGCTCTTCCTTTTAGGCCTTACACTAATTGTCGTGGGCTTTCCCCTGTTATGTTACATTGAACAGGAATGTAGCTCGAGTCCAGCATGCTCACTTTGCAAGATTTGTGCTGGTGATTAAATTATATCTACCCCTACATATGCGAATTTTAAAATTTTCCAAAAGCTCTCAAATTGTGATCAGTGTCAAGATGCCATGCTGATACCATGTCAGATGATGGCCCAATCAAGTTTATAGGCATCAATCTTCGGCCCATCGTGCCCGTTGCGCAAACCAAATAGCCGATTGGGTAGCTAAGGCTCAGCGCTCGAAATTCCCTCTCCTCATTCTAGGTTACCCGTCCCTTCAGCCTCTTTGGGATCTTTCATGTTTGGTTGTCCCTTCAGGCTTTTCTGTCGACCGAAAAAAGCTCATAGGGATTGTGTTCTAGAGCTGCCGCTGTACAATTGTGTTTTCCCTGGTGTTCATCGTCTCCGTGAGTGCCACTTGTTTTTGATTACCGCTATATCAAATACGTCGTTACTGATTTTTCGCTTTCTAGGCCCCAGTGGCATATTCGTAATTTCAACAGAAACCGAGGCGATTTTACTGTGAATCAAGACAGTGATTAGGGAGTCTTTGACGCGAGACGGACAACTTCGGGGCCACGTCCTCAGCTCTCTCTCAGCTCTCTCTCTCTATCTCTACCTTCTGCGATCGTTTCTGGGTGCGCCGACTTACCGAGCCTTTGGATGTCGGCGACGCAGAGGATACTCTGCGCTCTCAACCCAACGCTCCTCCGCCGTTCTTCCCTGCCGGCGGCGCTGCTGTCCAGGACCTCCCCCTTCCCCTCGCGTCGCTCCCTCGATCCTCGCGGAGCCCTCGCCCGCTTTCTCGCCTTCGTCCCTTCCTCCTCCTCCTCCTCCTCCTCCTCCGCCACCGCCCGTCGATCGATCATGCGTCGCCATCAGGTACTTCGTCTCCCCGCGCCGACGACCGCCTCCCTTTTCCCGTCGGCGGTGGCCCTTCTGTTGTCGTCGAGCGCTGCGTCGTTGTGTCGCGCTCGGCGGAACTTTGTGTCGCGCGCTTTGCGGTTTCCGGGTCCGATGCTTCGGATGGTTGACCAGTGCTTCCGTTCACTCGTTTGACTTGCTTTCTTCTTCTAATGTTCGTGCAGCAATGCTTGTCGGTTAATGCTAGATTTTCGATTATCAGCTTTGGCGCGAGTAGAGGACTTTTGATGTTCATTTTTCATCATTCCCTTTACTCTTTATTTGTAATTTGTGCAAGTTAATGAAAAGGTGGAGTGATTTACTCGTTATCGGCACTATGGCTTCAAATGAATGGTTTATTTTTTTGATGCGGTCTTACAGAGAAAGGGTCGGCATAGAGAGCAGGAGTGGAAGGAGGAAAACCCTTCCGTAACAGCTCCGGAAAGGAATAGTGCATTGACATTTGAAGCTGTTACCAGCAGACTCGGAGGGTTAGATATTGCGGAGTCGAGTGGAGATGTTCATTCTCCCCAATTGGGCGGCATTCGATCGGCAAACCATCATACTCCTTTCCAAGGTGAGAAGGCAATCTGGAATCCCAGAGCCTATGGAACAGCTAGTGGACCCGTGGAAGTGGACACTGAGAGTAAGACTGCGGATAAAGGAGTGGCGGAGGTGCAAGAGAATAGTTCTGGCTCAAGTGTGGCGCAAGAGATCTCTCTGGGTTTGAGTAAGTTGTTCAGGACAAATTATTTGGAGGGTTTCTCTGTGGATAACAATACGTATACAAGTGCCCAAATTAGAGCAACCTTCTACCCCAAGTTTGAAAATGAGAAGTCTGATCAGGAGGTAATCTTTATTTCGAAACAGTCCCTTATTATTTTGCTTTATCAGGATGTATGCCTTGTTCAGTTATGAAGGGTACTAGTAACTTCTGATAAGTTATCTTGCACACAAGAACGTCTACAACAGTTTTCTGCTCCTTTAGGGGCTTCATCTTTATCAATGGAAACCAAGCTTTGCATGTTTTCTATCTAGTCATGTGTTTTCATTTATTCAGATTAGGACAAGGATGATTGAGATGGTGTCGAAAGGCCTGGCAACATTAGAGGTATGCCACCTTACTGGCTCCATGTTTTCCCCTAGTAGGAATACACGTTTGGATTCAGCAAAGAGTGTTAACTTATATGTACCAGATATTTGATGAAATTCATAGTTTGCCAACCTTTCCCTATTGCATATGCTAAATAAGTAATTTATTTAGATAACTGCCGAGTGAGGGAGATGATGTTGTTTTTTGACCCAGGTTAAGTTACACCGATGCAGGTTTCCCTCAAGCATTCAGGTTCTCTCTTCATGTATGCCGGTCATGAGGGGGGAGCATATGCCAAGAACAGCTTTGGAAATATGTAAGCTGAAAAGCTTTCTGTGTCTGTGGCACATTGCATGGAGTACTTAGTAGATGTTCCTGTTATAGATACACTGCTGTGGGAGTTTTTGTCCTTGGCCGCATGTTTCGGGAGTCATGGGGTATGGAAGCGGGAAAAATGCAAGCTGAGTTCAATGCCTTTCTGGAGGTGAGTGGGTATTTCACTCTAACATTAGCTGTCAATATTATTTATATTCTCCTTGATGTTCAACCAATATTTAGATGAATATCTGGAATTTCAAATTTAAGTCTTTTCGCATGTAATTTCCACAGGAACATAAAAATCCGTGTAGGTCTTGACTACCATGTTTTTTGGGACAAAATTCATTGATTGATGCGAGGTCTTTTTCCCCTCTCGATTTCTTTTTGTGGGTATTTTCTATCCAATTGGGCTGCTTGGAACTTAATCTTCAGGTCGAGCTTTTGTAGTGGCTAGTCCCTAGACCTTAAACTTGCATAAGTGAAAGAAAGAAGTGTTAGAAATTCAAGTGCTAAGGCTCTCACCAATTAGGTGATTAGGGGATCGTTTGTTTTTAATTTGGTGCTTATACTTTTAAGTGTTTATAATTTGACTTTTCTTTATTTTATATTGAAAATTTCAAATCTTTAAGAATCTTAATTCATCTTCGTGAAATTACATAGTTTTTAAATTTAAATATAAGGATCGAGGTCTTTTTCTCCTCTCCATTTCTTTTTGTGGGTATTTTCTATCCAATTGGGCTGCTTGGAACTTAATCTTCAGGTCAAGCTTTTGCATTGGCTAGTCCCTAGACCTTAAACTTGCATAAGTGAGAGAAAGAAGTGTTAGAGATTCAAGTTCTAAAACTCTCACCAATTAGGTGATTGGGGTCTTTTATTTTTAATTTGGTGCTCCTACTTTCAAGGGTTTATAACTTGACTTTCGTTTATTTATGTTAAAAATTTCAAATCTTTAAGAATCTTAATTCATTCGTGAAAATTACATATTTTCTAAATTGAAAATAATATTTTCATTTTGGCGGAACGTCATAAGTAGTTAAGAAATTGAAAAAGATGGACCTTAATATGGAAATGATTCAACTCTCTCTCTCTCTCTCTCTCTCTCTCTCTCTCTCTCTCTCAACAAAGAGCGTGTGCACACTACTGTGTACACCACAAATGCAGCTGTGCTCATATGGACATAAGTGAAATGAAATACTTTGCTAGTGTAAACAAGCAACCACTCAAGTTCACGAGTATCCTGTACCTGTAATATGGAAATTAGCATTCCAATTATGTAGGAGATTTCCAGTTAGCAATGTTCATTGCTGTTCACAGCATTGGGACATGATCACTGTAGTTAAATTTTTTATAGTATTCTTTACCTTTTCCAACAGCTTTATCTTCAATAATTCCAGGAAAAGAGGATGTGTATTTCTATGGAGCTGGTAACAGCTGTTTTGGGTGACCACGGGCAGCGACCCCGAGAAGATTATGGTATCATTTTTACTCCTTTTCTACTTTGAGGTTCTTTGTTAGGATGTATCTGTTCTATATTTGGATCTTTAAAAATTTGTTAATGAATACATGGTTGATTGCTTGTACGCATCTTTTCTTATTTCTACTATGCATGTCCTTCTGTTCTTGGAGTCATACAATGACTTGGGGCTGAAAAACTTTTACTTTTTAATTGTGGTTATGGTTGATGTTTAGAGATCGACTGCCCATGAGTCATACTTTCCATCATCTGCCATTACTATAGTCTCAAATCTTATTGAAAAGTTCCATTTCATGTCTTTCTGTTACATCATGCCTCCGTAAATAAGTTGATCCTCGTGTGAAAGTAGTGTTTGCAAGGATAGCTCTTTAGATAGAATAGTGAAGTATATATATCTATTCCTATCGATAGAATTCTCCAAAAGAAATGGTTAATTAAGAGTTACTTTTTCTTACCATTTCATCGTGAAGAACTTGACTTTGCGATGGATAGTTTTCTTTATTCAGTAGTTTGTTTTGGTCATTATGTCTATTCTCAACATTCATCGAAGTAGAAAAGTATGAAAAGTTGATTATTTTGTCAAACCATTCTTGTTACTTCAACAGTTGTAGTTACCGCAGTCACTGAATTGGCAAGTGGCAAGCCTAAATTCTACCCCACTTCTGAAGTTATTGCGTTTTGTCGAAAATGGCGTCTCCCTACCAACCATGTATGGTTGTTCTCAACAAGGTATGTTCACATAACTAATTGCCCTTTGATTAATTATTAGACATTGTGGATTTATCAATTGAACAGTTTATCCTACCTTCTACACATATTATCTTCTTGCCTATTTGATTGTAGTAATAATTTGCACTCAGTAAAAAATTTATAGGAAAAAACTACATCATCTTGCATAGAGTGAAATGACTGTTCTCCGCCATAGTTTAAACTATTTGAATATGGGATACCAATGAATGTTAGCATATTTCTTAACACTCCTGTTTGCTTGTAAGATGGACCTTCGCAGGAGAGATAGGATATGCCACTAGATAGCTATAGACTAGAACACATGAACTAACAATAGGAGGGAGTGCGAGATTCAAACTCTTGACATAAGCTTCATATCATGTGAAATATCCATTTTTTTCCTAAAAGTTTAACCTGTCTGGATATAAGTTCGCAATGCATATCTGGAATATTTCTTTATGCATTGCATCTTTTTATGCACTTTAAAAGATTTGCACATGCTAGCAGTTGTTTCACATCCTATTTGGTGTTATAAATAAATAGACATTATGTTTCTGTATCATTGTAGCAATGGTGTTTGACTTGGACAAAGGTTAGTATCTAACTAATACGCAAGCCATACCAAAGCAGTTATACTTAATGGATTTTCTTTGGCTATGCTCAATATACAGTACATAAAGGCTTTGGGGATGAATTTGGAGTTCTTTATGTGGTATGTAATCTGACTATTAGTTTGTGTACTTGATGTAAAAGGCATGAGGATAACTGTGAGTGAGTATTCTAACAATTCTAACAGCATAGTCTTCAAAGAAGAGTTTTCACCTTGTATATAGATGCAGTGTAAGTGCACACCTGAGGTAGTCGACCATATCTGAAGTCGTTGTCCCGGACTGAGAAAAGCTCAGGTTTTTAGGTATTCACTGGTCTGAAGCTTCGCCTGTTAGGGAAGAGCTATGCTCTTGGGAAGGAGTTTGTTTTGTAAACAACAAAGAGAGAAGATCTATGCTTGGTTCTTTTTCTCCAGCAAATTTTTTTGGCTTATTTGGAGGGGGAGAAACTGCAAGGCTTTTCAAAGTCTAATTCTTTCAATGTAAAAAGAAAATAGGGGCTGTCATTTTGGGTTTTTTGGGTTACTGAACATACTGCTGGAGAATTTTTTAGACTTTTTACATTCATTTTCTCCCTAATTTTTTGATATAGTAGTGGTACATCTTATAAATGTTTCCTTTTTAGTTTTTGAAAAAGAAAACATCATCAATACTTTAGAACATGTCAAGACTGAAGTTAAGGCCTACTCCCTAACATAAGTGTACTACTTTTGAACAAAAGTGTCTTCATAATATTAGGAGGGAATTGCTCCTTAAGATGGAGAATTTGTAGTGGGTGGACCATTTGATGGCTAATATGCATTTTGTGGCTTATAGCACTCATTTGATTAAACTTTACTACAGGCGGAATGAATTACTGACTGAGTCTGCATACAATTAGGTTCAAGTAGATCTTTAAATCAAGGAAAAAAAATTATTAGTGAACTTACTATTCAATTGGATTAGTGAACTGATGAAATAAGGAAAAGAAAATGCTGCGGAAGAAATAAATTAGAAGTTCAGAAATACATTTTAAATTGGAATTATGCAAATAATACATACTTAAAGAAAAAATTGAAGTGTAAAAATTGACGTGGGAAAGATTCAGAGGTTGTATTCAATATTGGAATTAGTCAAAAAAAGCACACACTCAAAGCAAAGGAATTTCGAATTCTTTAATCAAACTTATCTCAATTGAATTAGTGGACTAATGAAATTAGAAAATAGTATGTATCTTTATGAGAAAGTAAAATAATAAATGAGAAAAAAAATGGAATAAAAAAACAATGATTTGTGTACTAACTATTTGATGTATTGGTGAACTGATGAAACAAGGAAAAGCAAATGATGCAGAAGAAATCAACTAGCAAATCACAAATACATCTACATTGAAATTAGACAAAAGTACATATTTAAAGAAATCGAATCCCAAATTCTTCAATCAAAGACTTTTGTAGGTAGACTAGACTAATTTGTGATTTCTTTAGCTTCTTCTCTCTTCTGCTTTTGATTGGTTGTCCAATGCTTTAAACTCCAGCATCCCTTGTCATAAGTGCTCGTCTGCTAATTTGGGTTGCCAAACAAATTTTATTTCTATTTTAGGAAGTCAGTGACATCCTTTTTTGCTGCCTATGACGCTTTATGTGAAGAAGGAACAGCAACACCTGTTTGTAAGGCTCTTAATGAAGTTGCAGATATTTCTGTACCAGGTAATGCTGAAGAGCAGGTTGATGTTGCTATTGTCCATTATTTAAGCTTCACCACTCTTGGTATAGCAAAGCTTTTATCACCTACAATTTTTTTTTTGTTTGTGACTGCAGAAGAAATTATATATATTAGACTTCTAATGTTATAATTGTCCTTTTATCTGAGATCATTTATTTGCATCTTAAAATTTAATCACTTTGGTTGATGTCTTTCTCCTTGGGGAACTATCGGTGACTTGGAATTCTGTGCAGGATCAATAGATCATATCAATGTGCAAGGTGAAATCTTAGAGGGTCTCGTGGCTCGAATTGTAAGCCCCGAGAGTTCAAAACATATTGAAGAAGTCTTGAACGACTTCCCTCCTCCACCAAATGAAGGAGGTACTCAATCTTGTTCTCTTGACATATAATTGAATAGGGTTGCAATCACATTTGTTCAAATTATATTCAAATGCAGTTTTTTTCAGTTGTTGCTGAAGTCAACAGAACATTGCCTAATTTCAATAATATTCTCAGTTTATTTTTATTTTGCTTCTTATGTCAGATCATCTTGATCTGGGACCCAGCCTTAGAGAAATTTGTGCGGCAAATAGGACAGATGAGAAACAGGTGAGATTGAATTTGTCCAAGTGGGAGTATACTCTAAGCCTTATATTCCTGAACACTGTCGCTTAGGTGACATTGATGATGTGAGCGTATTGATGATTTTTTTTACTATCCAAATTTAATTGCAGCAAATGAAAGCACTCCTTAAGGGTGTGGGTACCTCCTTTTGTCCTGATCTTTTAGACTGGCTTGGGAATGAAACAGGCGATAACCATTCAAGAAATGCAGACCGATCTGTTGTGGCAAAATTTTTGCAATCACGGCCTGCTGACTACTCTACCACCAAGCTGCAGGTGAAACTCTGCAGTCAAATGAATTGTCTCTGCAGCAAAATTCTGCTTGCTGTGTAGGATTTTGCTTTCTTGTTTGATGACACTCATTCTTCTGTCAACCAGGAAATGATTCGCTTAATGAGAGAAAGACGCTATCCAGCTGCATTTAAATGCTATCACAATTTTCACAAAATCAACTCTATATCAAGTGAAAATCTTTTCTACAAATTGGTCATTCATGTTCACAGCGATTCAACTTTCCGCAGATACCAAAAAGAGATGAGGTCAAGTTCAAGCCTACCTTCCTTCTCTTGGTTAATGGATTTTATTTGTAATTTTGTGTGTAATAGTGTGAATAAATGATCTTCAGGTCCAACCCGGGATTGTGGCCACTCTATAGAGGTAAAAACATGCTATTTCAATACACACACTACCTTTCTTATTTTACCATGCATCCTAACTCGTAAGTATTATACACTAGAAAGATCTGTCGACAGGAGGTTAATCTTGAATTCTGCTATATCTTGCAGGGTTTTTTGTCGACATTAATTTATTCAAGGCAAATAAAGAACGAGCTGCTGAAATTGCAAATAGCAATCTGGATATTGTAGAAAATACTAATGGTACTGCTGCATCCCCAAAGGATAGTTTGGCGGATGATGATGCAAACATAATGATAAAACTGAAATTTCTAACCTATAAGGTACGCGTTGTTTTCGCACAAGTCTACTGAAAATTGTCTTTATCTTTAGTTGTATCTGGTTGCAATTCAAAATGGTTAGTTTTGTTAAAGTAGCTTTCAAGAGGTGGTGGCTTTGCTCTTTTCCTGTAGTTTGTATTTCCTTCTATATAGGAAACATACAAAAAATAGTAGTGCGCAGGGCCCCTATGTGCAAGGGTTAGGGGAGCATATAAACTTACGATATGCCAGCAGATAGCATATAACCCAAGTCGAGTTTACTAGTAGATATCCCCTGGTTTCAATGGCGTAATGATTTTTATTCCGACTCTTCTCAAAAAACCAATATGCCTTCAAGTTTCATCTCTATACCAAAGTGGTGTCCTCTATCGTTTTAGTTCTACAACTTAGTCTGCTGCTGAAGCAATAGATGTTTAGTGGCATTCTGTACCTTCACATTTAGAAAGCTGCTCTGAGTTGCGGGGGTGGTAAAGATTGAGCTGTCGGTGAATTTGGTCTACTCAGCACTTCTCGATCTCAGAATTGACTCAATTGTTACGACTTGTTACTTAGTTGAGTAATTTGAGGCTTGACTTAATGAGTTTACGTGCTCAAGCTCAACTGGACTTAGATGCATTATCCAAAAGTAAATTATACTCTATCCTCAAGGTAACCAGAAACAGTGAACTTGAACTTGGATATCAATGTATACAGAATTGAAAAATAAGATTATGCTTCTAAGCTTGGTTATTATGAAACACTAATATCTTTAAAACTCAACTAGGAGTGCAATGAGGCTTGAATTTTATTAGTTCGACACTCTACTGACTCCAACTTGGTGTTTAGACTAACTTCTACACTGCATAGATGATATGGTTGACACCAATTTTATGAGATTGCAAAGTCCAATGCTCCCATATTTTTTCTCTGGTTCCGAATTGAGTATCTGCTTTGATTGAAATAAAAACATTTTGGACACCATTCAGAGTCAATTCCGTATTTGATTCAGAATTCTTAGGTGGCTTTGAACTTGTACTGGGGCCATATTTTCAGTATTGCATTCTGACCAAACTAGTTTTGGCTTATTTATAGGGAAGATTGATGATTATCTGTTTTTTGTGCACAGTGATGGAGTAGTAATCCGATACACAAATTGCTTAAATACAATCTCACACTCATCATTCCGAATTTCTTCTGCAGCTCCGGACTTTTTTGATTCGCAATGGTTTGTCCATACTTTTTAAGCAGGGTCCAGCCGCATATAAGGCCTACTACCAAAGGTAAGTGCAGTATTCTTGAATAATGGTGTCTTGAAAATATGTGGAGAGCACTGCTCCATACAGTGAAGAATAAGTGCTTGGGACAGGGCGATAGCTAGTGCGCATTTGACAAATTACATTCATTTGATTACAATATGTTGATTAATCAACTGATTATTTATCAGTATGATAAGGACCGTGTGTAATAGGGTGCAATTCCATGAAAGTGTCATCCCAGTGAGCAAGAGTATTGTTGGTATCAAGCACGTAGTTTTATTATGATCAGATCAATGAGTAAAGACTTGAGTGATTTTGTACAAGCATGTTTACCAAACAATGTCCTATTTTGACACTACAGACAAATGACGATATGGGGTACTTCACCTGGAAAACAGAGACAACTCAGCAAGATGTTAGATGAATGGTAATATTTCAGCAACTTTTTGTAGGATCTCTTTGATTTGGATTTCTCACATTTAGTGATCTTCAGGGCTGTTTATATCCGAAGAAAGTGTGGAAATAAACAGTTATCATCATCAACATACCTCAGTGAGGCTGAACCTTTTCTAGAACAGTACGCAAAACGCAGTCTGGACAATCAAGCTTTAATAGGATCTGCTGGAAATTTTGTGAGGGCCGAAGATTTTCTTGCTATTATTGAAGGAGGCAGGGATGAAGAAGGTGATCTGGAAACTGATCGACAAGTAGCACCACAAAGTTCTAGTCCCTCTGCCAGAGACTCTATTGTGAAGGATCATGGTCTAATTGTATTTTTTCCAGGTGTGTTTGTCTTTGCTGCTTATATGGGTGTGTGTGTGTGTGTTTTGGGGGGGGTGGGTTGGGGGGGGTGGGGGTGGGGGTTGGTGGGGTTGTTGGTAGAGGAGGGAGGGATCCTTACGTTCAATGTTTTCTTTAAGTATTTTAAATTGACGTTCCTTCTTTCATCTAAAGATAAGTCTCCTTTGGGCTACATGAAGCGCCTCTTGAGCTAGAACTGTCTTTTCTTGTTGATGTATGTGTAGTCACTTGAGCAGCATTTTGCTCCCGTTGGTAATTATATTCTCTATTTTGAAAGAATCTCACTAAGAATTTCGAAGAATTCTCCGCAACAAGAGTGTTAGGTACTTTGAGGGAGGGATCCTTATGATTTTGTTTTAAGTTCTTAAATAATCTGCCAATAAATGTTCAATGATTTCTTTAAGTATTTTAAATTGACGTTCCTTCTTTCATCTAAAGATAAGTCTCCCCTCTACAATTGTCTTGGCCTTTGGGCTGCATGAAGCTCCTCTTGAGCTAGAACTGTCTTTTCTTGTTTATGTATGTGTAGTCACTTGAGCAGCATTTTGCTCCCGTTGGTAATTATATTCTCTATTTTGAAAGAATCTCACTAAGAATTTCGAAGAATCCTCCGCAACAAGAGTTTTAGGTACTTTTGGTCACACAACAGCTGAATTGAGTCTGCGGCCAGTTATACATCTATTGTTCTGTATTCATTTGTGAATGGGTTGGCAGAACTGTTTGGTGTTTATCTCAATAACAATACCTCATTCTTCTTTGTTAAGGCATATTATCATAGCAAAAGCATGCTGCTTTAGTGCAAATTTTATGAAATGTTAGCCTCTTTAACAATCAGATTCTATCTCAGCCTGTGAGTTCTCAGAAGTTTTATATATGTCCAGTTTCTGCAAGATCTTTTTTTCGTCTTAGTTGCAGCACCACTTTATGATTTCTTTCTTTTTTAATAACTAATATCAATTAGTTATTAGTTTGAGCAAACATAAATTGGTCTCCAAAAATTCTCATCTTATAATTCTTCGTGGATAATTTGTTACTTCAAATGTGGTCATTATGTTTTGATTTATCATATCTCAGGAATACCTGGTTGTGCTAAGTCAGCCATGTGCAAGGAACTATTGAGTGCCCCAGGTGGTCTTGGGGATGATCGGCCAGTCCATAGTCTAATGGGTGACCTTGTTAAAGGTATTGAACATTGTTGGGATGTCATCAAACTTATGCTTCCGTACCTCATTTGGATTTCAATGCTCTTCATCGGTATAATTTTGGCTGTTTACCATTCGCAATGTGTCCATCGCCTTGAGTCAAAATAAAGAGTGGCCTCTCAATATCTGTGCCCATCTGGCCCTGTAAATATAACGAAGGACTAGGCTTGTTCACCTAAGCCTGGCAACAAAGAATAATAAGTGAAGCATCGCAAGAGAGGATTTTTCAAGTGGAAAATAGTAAATTAACTTAGCTGAAAGAAGATTGACTGCTCAGGGTAGTTGGATTGGTTGTCCACTTCACTCCGCTATTTATGGTGTCACTTTGGTTGACAATTTGTTTATTTGACAGAAGTTCAAGCTTCAAGCATAATGTGTTGCGGTGTATAGGCTTACTATACTTAACTCAAATCATCATGAATTTCTGATCTTTGTTGTACACCATACTTAACTTAAAATGTTCATGTGCTCTTGTCAGAACAATTCCTGATGAAAGAATCTTACTACAAGCCAATATTATGGATGCAAATTTTTTTTCCCTATACTTTTTTTGAGAGTTTATTTCTCTGTATGGGCATATGTGTAGGGAAGTATTGGCAGAAAGTTGCTGATGAACGCAGGAGAAAACCCCATTCTATAATGCTAGCAGACAAGAATGCTCCAAATGAAGAAGTTTGGAGACTGGTGATTTTCTTTCTGTTTTCTCTTTAGATTATGATTTTATAGTCTACAGTTTGTTCTTTTCTTCAGTTTCTACTGAGTCAGTATATTGACGTCGTTTCACTTATTGCTCGCTCCTACAGAGAACTAGGGTAAAAAATAGACTTCCTTTACATTGACAATGGCGAGCTCTGCAATTACGGGTACCATGGGAATTTATGCTAGGGTCAAAACTGAGTCAAGCTACTGGCGAATACTTCCTACTTCAATGATTCCTCGAGATTGATTCGTTTGATTTCAGTTGAACTCAAGAGTGCCAAAAACTCAGTTCAAGAGCTCGCTAACTTGATCGAACTTTTATTATTTCATCAAAGATATCTAATAGTGTAAAAATAGACTCCTAAATCCTTCGAACAATAGCATATCCACACACACTCGTATGTTTAAGGGAAGATACTGCGGCTTGCTCTAGTTCATTTATAATTTTGTTGTAATCAAATCGAATTCGAATATCTCAATTTTCTATTTAGAGATGAGCTTTAGCTGGAAATTTAATACTCGATTTTGCTAGAGTCAAGTTTCGAGCATCAAAACGTGAGTCAAGTCCAATGTTACCTAGATCATGGTTCGTTATGGTACTTGGTATGGATTCGGGTACGCATAGCGCTATTTCTTAAGTTTGCGGTTTGGGGGGTAGGCTTAGATGGTTCGTTAGTTGGGATCATGGTTCGTCATAGGTGGTATATCCAAGAAACTGCACATACCTTGACACATAATCATATTAACTCTTTTCTTCTAAAATTATGTTTTTATGCTTGGGCTAAAAAAGTTCGTGCAGTCTCAACTAGGTAAAAGATATAATTTGGGCTACCTCATGTCTTACTCAATCATTGGACTATATGGATTTGATCCTTTGGGCTTAGAATTTATTTATAGGAGGTTATCTTGAGTAAGGGGGGTCAAAAAGTCAAAACCTTGGGAATTGATGGACGCACAGCTTGAGGAGAGAAATTCTTCTTCTTTTTCTAACCACAAAAGACCAAATGAGTAAGCCATAGCTAAGCCAAGAAGCATTCTAATTTCTAGCAGCTCTCTAGGGTATCAGGATAACTAAAACTGGTGATCCAAGTCCATACGTACTGTGATCAGGATCAAACAACCCTGATCGCTAATAGCAGGTGTTCCCATGAATCTGAAACAATTAAAACTGAAGGAACTTATCTGTGCTAATCTAGGTTGCAGTAGCTAGCAAAAGTGAATTTTTTTTTTTGGTATGATCAAAAGTGAATTAAATTGGCTCAATTTCATCAAAAAATTGTCGTGGTTTTTATTAAACTAACCTTCAGGGGAATATGTGGCTATATAGCTAATTCTCTTTCTGTCTGGTGGCAATATGAGTCAGTCAAGTGATTAAGCAATGAATCTCTTTGGCCAGATTATTGATTAAAGTTAGGGGTAATGACAGTGATGGACCTTGAACTTTTTCTCAATTTTTGATGTTGTCATTGAACTTTTTTTTTATTCAATCTAGTTCCTGAACTTTTGGAAATTGGCTCGATCAATTGTATAATTTGATTTTTAACAACTAAAGCAATTCCATCTTTAAGCTACTACTTTCAAAAAGATGATGTTGCGAATCTGATGGCAAATGCTTTAAATTTCTTTCCTCTTAAAACCTCATTAGCGAAGGAAAAATACATGTCTCAGTTTGGTCCTTTTGTTTTGCTGTTTCAGATTGAGGATATGTGCAGGAGCACCAAATCATCGGCAGTTCCAGTTATACCTGATTCTGAAGGTTGTGCTTTCTCTCTAGATAAACACTTCAATATACATAGAGCTGTTCGAAATATCTGGATATTACTTGGCAGTATCCGCTCCTCTAAACGGTTGTGATTGGTTCTTCAGATCAACAGTACGAATGTCCTAATAAGGAGTCAGCAACATATACTTTTTGTTATTACCAAATCCATAAATGTAGCGTAGCTTCTAAAATACCTCCTTCTGGCTAAAGTAAAGCTCCTTGTGACTTCTTGTTTCTCCTCACAACCTCCGTACTACAAGTAACCAGCTGAAAAGAAATTTTTGCCTTTTCCCCCTCATTTTAGCGCTTGAAGCACGGTGATTTTCTTGGTGTTGCCCATATATGCAAGACAAGTTTACTAGACTATTCTTCTACTTATGCTCTATTTGTTTCGTGGAAAATGAATGATTTGGAAAACATTATTCTACAAATGATTGCTTATATCTCTTACAAAAATGAATAAATGAAAAATATTTTCGTCAACCACGAAATGTTTAGACATAAATTGTTATCGATAATGAAAACACTTTTTATTAGCTAATTATTTCAAGTGATACAAACGATCATTTTTAAGAAAATATTTTCCAAATCATTCATTTTCCGAGAAACAAATGGAGCCTTAATGGAAGATAATATGGTTCTTCATGGACTTTTTATTTTCCTATAAAATGGCCTAGAAAATGCATGTGATCATCTTGGTTCTTTAGGAATCAGGAGTTCTCTTCAAATCCATTTGCACAAGTAATGTGCCTGTATTTTTTTTAGGTTGGTCGTACCTCATCGTAGGAATTTGAAGCTTTTTACTTAATACATATGCTTTTTTTGTTACTTTGTAGTTTCCATTAAGGAAATCACAGTAATGTGATTCTTCCCCATAGTTCCATGGTTTATGTTACAAGGAAGAATTAGAGCATCATTGGAACATTTTCACCATAGTCTTAAATGTCCTTTTTGCTCTCCATTTCCTTCATTAGATTGACTGGTGAATTATGCGGGGCTTCAATAATTTCTACTGCTTTGTTCTTGTCGTCTCTTCATTTATTTCTGCATGCACACTATAGTAAGCTGTTATGATTGCCAATGTAGATTGTGCTATGTGTAATTCGTGCAATCTTGTATGTTAGTTTGTTCTCAAATGTATTGGGTGATATGAATCGTTTGATGTTGGTTTCAATTCTCTATCACTGCTGTTCCCAAAAGAACTAATCATGGTTTTTTTGCAGGTACTGATTCGAATCCATTTTCTCTCGATGCATTAGCTGTGTTCATGTTCCGTGTGCTTCAGCGGGTTAATCATCCGGTAAAGAATTTGTAACTTGTTGAAGCGCTTCGAAGAATAGTTACCCTTTATCATCTTTTACTGATGCATTATTTTATGCTTTTCAATTTGGAAGGGTAATCTTGACAAGGCATCTCCAAATGCTGGTTATGTGCTTCTAATATTTTATCACCTTTATGAGGGCAAGGTATGATTCTGCTTTTTTCTAGATAAACTTCTTGGTGTTTCTCTTAGTGTGATGTCAATGAGACTGTTTGAGGTATTCACTGATCTGTGTTGATATGCTTCAGAGTCGTGAAGAGTTTGAGAGTGAACTAGTTGAACGATTTGGCTCAATTGTGAAGATGCCCTTGCTGAAATCTGATAGGTAAAATCTCCCTACTGACTGTGACACATTTTTCTTGTCTTATCGTAACACCATTTTTTTTGCTGACACTTAAAATTAGTGCAGTGGAATGCATAAATAAGGTTACAAGCCATTGACAAGGGTTGCAATTGTTATTGAGAAGTAGAGAGAGAGAGAGGGAAAAGTGTATACTGTATTAACCAGTAGTGTCTAATACATATACCAAAAATAAGACCTAAAGGTCCTAAGGACCACTTTACCCTTTTACTACTTCTAACACTCCCCCTCAAGCTGGAGCATAGATATTAATCATGCCCAGCTTGTTACAAATATATTCTATCCTCCCATTACCCAAAGGTTTAGTAAAAATATCTGCAAGTTGTTCACCGGTTCGAATATGATTGGGAATGATCATTCCACTCTGCAACTTTTCCCGAATAAAGTGACAATCAACCTCAATGTGTTTTGTTCTCTCATGAAACACGGGGTTGGAAGCTATATGCACTTTGCAGCTTTATTGTCACACCATGAGTCATGGGTACCGAAGCTTTGAAGCCTATCTCATCAATAACCGTTGAATCCACACTAATTCACATGTCACTTGTGCCATGGCTCTATATTCTGACTCGGCACTCGAGCGTGCAACAACATTTTGTTTCTTACTCTTCCATGATACTAGATTTCCTCCAACCAAGGTACAATAGCCGGTAGTTGATCTTCTATCATCCGGAGACCCCGCCAATCAGCATCGGAGAATCCTTCGACTTTGCTATGACCATGATTTTGGTAAATAATTCCTTTTCTGGAGTCTTTTTCAAGTACCTCAATATCCGAATAACGCATTCCAATGAGATGTACGAGGAGAAGATAGAAAGCGGCTTACCACACTTCTTGGAAAGGCAATATCTCGGTCGAGTGACTCGTGAGATAATTCGGTTTTCCTACCGGTCTCCTATATCTCTCCAGGGTTATCAAGAGTTTCTCCTCCTCCATGACTAGTTTGACCCCTTGTTCCATGGGTGAATCAAGAGGTTTTGATCCCAACATACCTGTCTCATTAAGCAAATCCAGTACATATTTTCTTTGTGATAGAACAATACCTTTATGTGACTGAGCAACTTCAATTCCTAGGAAATACTTCAATTTTCCTAAATCCTTGGTCTGAAACTGTTGATGAAGATAAATCTTTAGTTCAGCTATACCAGTCAAATCATCTCCCGTGATGATAATATCATCAACATACACAATCAAGAACAATTTGCCTCCCCGTGACTGTTTATAAAAGAAAGAATGATCATTTCCACATCTAGACAGTCCAAAAGAAAGTACAGCATCAGAAAATCTTCCAAACCATGCTCGTGGGGATTGCTTCAAACCATATAAAGACTTCCTTAATTTGCAAACCATAACCCCAGACTCCCCCTGAGCAACAAACCCTGGAGGTTGCTCCATATAAACTTCCTCATGAAGAGTACCATGCAAGAAGGCATTCTTAACATCAAGCTGAAATAAAGGCCAGTTATATGTGGCAGCAAGGGATATCAAAATACGAACAGAAGTAAGTTTGGCAACAGGAGAAAAAGTGTCTAGATAGTCAACTCCATAAACCTGAGCATACCCTTTTGCAACAAGTCGTGCTTTTAAACGAGCCAGAGAACCATCAGGATTGACTTTCACAGCAAATATCCAACGACAACCAATAGCAGCTTTGGCTGAAGGAAGAGGTACCAAGTCCCAAGTCTGATTAAACTGGAGAGCCATTAGTTCTTCTTCCATTGCTGTCCTCCAGCCAGAATTTTGTAATGCTTCAGATACAGATTTGGGGATAGGATATTGGTCCACAGTAGATAGAAAGGATCGAAAAGAACGAGAGACAGAAGAATATGAGACGAAGTTTGCAATGGAGTGTTGAGTACAAGTACGTGTACCTTTGCGATGAGCAATAGGAAGATCAAGATCAGATACAAGAGGAGGGTCAACTAATGGCGGATCTGGAGCTGAAGATGACGTAGTAGTGTCATGAGCAAGGGGGGAAATAGTAGCTACTCGAGGACGTCGAGTATAAACCTGGAGAGGAGGTAGTTCCTGTGTAGAGACCTGTGAAGTAGTTGGAGCAGGTGACCGAAGGGTAGTCACATAGAAGTCTTCATCAAACTCAGAAACAGAAATTGGAACATCATGATAAGGCGTGGATTCGAAGAATGAAACATCAGCAGTTATAAAGTATTTTCTCAGTAATGGAGAATAACAACGATATCCCTTTTGAGTACGAGAATAACCCAAAAACATACACTTGATAGCCTTGGGATCAAGTTTTGATACTCCAGGTCGATGATCACGAATAAAACAGACACAACCAAAAATACGGGGCGGTAAGACAAACAGTGACACATTTGGAAACAAAGTAGAAAAAGGAATACCACCTCGCAAAACAGAAGAGGGCATGCGATTGATGAGATAGCATGCAGTTAGAACAGCATCACACCAAAAGGTTTTGGGAACCTTCATTTCAAACAACATGGATCTAGTAACATCCAATAAGTGTCTATTCTTTCTTTCAGCAACACCATTCTGTTGTGGTGTATCAGGACAGGAAGATTCATGGATCATACCATGTTGAGTCATAAAGTCAGAAAAAGGTGCAGAAAAGTACTCTTTAGCGTTATCAGAACGCAAAACTTTAACCTGCACACCAAACTGAGTATGAATTTCATATACAAATGCACGAAATATAGAAAACAATTCTGAACGATTTTTCATTAGATATAACCATGTTACCCTGGAATAGTCATCAACAAAAGTAACAAAATATCTGAAACCCAGATTAGAAGCCACATGACAAGGACCCCAAATATCTGAATGAACTAACAAAAAAGGGGACGCTACTCGTTTAATAACTCGTGGCGGGTAACTAATACGATGTAATTTGCCCAGTTGGCATGACTCACACTCTAAACTAGAAAGGGATCCAAAACTAGAATCTAACTTCTGAAGGCTACGTAGAGAAGGATGACCAAGTCGACAATGGATCTGATGTAAGGATGCAACACTAGGACATGCAATGGGAGGAGCGTCTTCAAGTACATACAACCCCCCTGCCTCATGTCCTCTACCAATCGTCCTCTTCGTAGCCGATCTGAAAAATACAAGAATCGGGGTAGAATGTTCTTGAACACCGAAAGTTTTTGGTTAATTTTGTGAGACATGAGGTTAAACGGAAATTGAGGAAGATAAAGGATCGAGGACAATGGCAAGGAAGGAGTTGGATAAAGCTGTGCCAACCCCTTAACATGTGTAGATGATCCATTGGCTATGGTTACCTTGGATGAAGATGAAGTAAGAGAGGAAAATATACCTGAAAGACCCGACATGTGGTCAGAAGCCCCTGAATCAATGATCCAAGGACAAGAAGCAGCTGAAAGGCATGTAGTCGCATTACCTATCTGTACCAAAGTAGCAGTGGAAGAAGCAGGCTGTGAAATCTGAGACTGGGTGTACCGTGCAAACTCCTCATCAGACATAACAACTACCTTGCCTTCAGAAGACTGTGGAGAAGAATCAGTACCAGAAGCAGTATGTGCAAACTGTTGTTGCTGCACTGATCTTCCATGTAACTTATAACAGAATTTTTGAATATGGCCAGCTTTCCCACAGTAATGACAAGTCCGTATGGCCCCTGAGTTGTTAGTAGACATGTGCTGTTGGCCTTGGCCTCTCCCTGGTCCTTCACCTCGGCCTCCTCCTCGGCCACCACGTCCACTGTATCCTCCACGATTTCCTCCATCACTCCTGCTACCGCTACCCGATCGAGATTGGAACACAAGAGCTGAACTATCTGCCATAGGTGTAATATCTTGAGGAGACTCACGAGATACCCGAAGTACCCGAGCAAACGTATCCGTGAGTGATGCGACAGCCTCTCCTCCAAGAATCCGAGACCTAACAGTTTCATATTCGGGACCAATGCCCGCTAGATACACCATTACGACCAATTGTTCTCTTTGAAGTTGCATTTTTGAATATTGGCTGAAATTGGAAGAATAGCATTCAACTCCTCATACATTCTCTTAAACTCAAGCAAAGTATTGCGTCATAGGACGTCCCTTCCTTTCGGATCGGTAAAACTCCTGCGATAACTCATAAACTCGTGACAGGTTATTTTGGCCAGAATATAATACATTCAAATAGTCCCACATTTCTTTGACCGTGTCAATATGAGTTACTAGATCAACTATATTATTTTCCATAGAGTTTAACATCTGACCAAGGATGCATGCATCAACAATATCCCAATTTGCATCATCTTCGGGTTTCGGCTCAGTTATGTGTCTAATCTGATTCCTGCTTGTCAAAGTAAGCTTCACAATTTTCTTCCATTGATGGAAGTTAGAACTCCCCACAAGCTTCTTATCGAGTAATTCGATTAGATGAAGACGACATCACCTCGGTCATCACAGATTATTCCTCTCGAATCACCCATCCTTCAATATCCCGTAGGACCGTATACTGGCTCCCAAGCCTCGTCAACGTTACCAGCCTTCCTCCACAACTCCACCAATCAATAAACCATAACCCGATTAATCAAACATCCATAATCTAACGTCTAACAACCAAGCAATCTAACCTGGCCGTATTGAAGAGCGACAAAAGCAAGCAAGGCAACAACAGAGCATAGTCAAAGCAACAAAACCACTTGCAGGCAACTATGAAAAGGCTAAGAACACCTTCCTGCCACTTGAAATCCATCTTGAAGAATTTTCATTTGCTTGTCATTCCATCGAGAGACAATAACACATGCTGAAACTCGGCCGGTTTCACAAATTTCTTGCATAAAGCAATTTCGGAGGAACAGAGGAACAAAGGAGGAACAGAGGAGGAGAGACCTTCAGAGACCTTCAGTTCATGGAGAGACCTTCAGTTCACATCAATGGCGAGGAAACCTCCAATCACCAGGCTCGCGTGACTTGCACGACCTGAATCGCGCGAGCTGGAGCCCGCGCGAGCTGGGTCGCGCGAGCTGGACCCCCGCGCGAGCTGGGTCGCGCGGCTGGAGCCCCCGCGAGCCGGGTCGCGCGAGTGGAGCCCGGCGCGAGCTGGGTCGCGCGAGCTGGAGCCCCGCGAGCTGCTGGGTCGCGCGAGCTGAACCCCGCGCGAGCTGGAGCCCCGCGCGAGCTGGGTCGCGCGGCTGGAGCCCCTCGCGAGCTGGGTCGCGCGGCTGGAGCCCCTCGCGAGCTGGGGTCGCCGGCGACGGGTTGTTCGGCGACGGCGACGGCGCCGGCGACGGGTTGTTCCGGCGGCAGCGGCTAGGGTCGAGGCTCGATACCATGAGAAGTAGAGAGAGAGAGAGGGAAAAGTGTATACTGTATTAACCAGTAGTGTCTAATACATATACCAAAAATAAGACCTAAAGGTCCTAAGGACCACTTTACCCTTTTACTACTTCTAACAGTTATAACTCATCATGTAGTCACATAAGATTCATGTGGGATAATGTAATCATGCTAGACCACTTGAGGGTCAATTACAACGGTGTGGTTTTGTTGAATGTTCAGATTCTTTCTTTTCTTCAGTAGAGAGAGAGGTGGGGGAGTTGGTTGATAAAGATGTGAAAGCGGGGGGTAGACAGTCTGGGAACAAGTTCTTCGCACATCAGAAATGTTTGCCATGTCAAGGTCGCTAACATTCTCTAGATCTTGCCAGAAAGTTAAATCGATGCTGCACTTTGCTTTGCTTATGCAGGAGTCCTCTACCTGGTCCAGTCAAATCAGTTTTGGAGGAGGGACTTAATCTATACAAGCTTCATACAAGGAGGCACGAGAGGTTAGACCTTTCTATGGCTCTGCTTAAGCAATAGATGGCTATATTCGTTTCATATTGTGCTCCTTTGTAGTCGTTTCGTGGTCATAGAAGTTGCAATCTAGTAGATCAAAATAGTATAGTTCTTCTTTTGAACAAGCAAGCTCTCACTTCTCTGATGTTCATTTCTGAGCATTGGTGGACTAAATTGTATAAAGAACTAGTGGAGCCTTATTACTAGCATTTCTACATCTGCATGAACATTCTCAATGTTTGTTCCAAGAGATAAGTCGGTGTCTTGTCTTTTGGTGTACTGACTGATTATGCATTCGTCTCTCTTTGATTCGGTGCATTACATGTCCTGCATGTGTAGATTGGAGTCCAACAAAGGATCCTATGCAGAGGAGTGGTCTAACTGGGAAAAGCAATTGCGAGAGACATTACTCAGCAATGCCGATTATCTCAACTCTATTCAGGTCATTATACTCTCTCTTGTCCCTTCACATCCTCTCCCCATTCCACTTCTCAACAGTGTGAAACATGTTTTTCCTATGATGTCACTTCTCCAGGTGCCATTTGACTTTGCCGTTAATCAAGTATCGGAACAACTGAAGAAAGTTGTCGGAGGTGATTATACGGCGCCTAGTACTGAGAAGAGGAAGCTTGGAACAATCGTTTTCGCAGCTGTCAGCTTACCCGTAACACACATACAAAATCTTCTTAATGATGTAAGCGGGACAAAGCATTTTTGCCAAGTACTCTTGGCTGTGCCTCATCTTTCATTACCTTACGCAAGTCTTGCATATTAAATATGTTTATCTTTTGCTACTGACAATTTTGTTGTCCCCTCCATGTTCACTCTATGCTCACTCCAACCAGTTGGCTGAGAAGCACCCAAACGTAGAAACCTTCCTGCGAGACAAACACTTGGACAGCAGCCTCCAAAAGGCTCACGTCACTCTTGCTCACAAGAGAAGCCATGGCGTTACAGCTGTAGCTAGCTATGGCCTCCACGTCGATCAAGATGTCCCTGTGGATCTTACGGCTTTGCTCTTCAACGATAAAATGGCTGCATTCGAAGCTCGCCTCGGTGCTGTGGACGGGGAAGTCATAACCTCCAAGAACGATTGGCCGCATATTACTATATGGACAGCGGAGGGAGTTCCGCCCAAGGAGGCCAACGCTTTGCCCTCCTTGCTTTCAGAGGGGAAGGCTACGCAAGTAGAAATTGATCCTCCGGTTACCATATCTGGTCCGCTCCAATTCTTTTAGGCAAGTTAATTTCCCTTATTTTTGCACGTGTTGGAGGGGAAATTCTCAGAAAAGTTTTGTCGCCCCCGAGGGACTTTGTATAGGTCTGTTGGGTAAATTTTCTCGTTTTGTATAATTTGAAGCAAGTTGAGACGAGTTTAGTAAGCTCGTAGAATGCATCTTTGTATCTGTCGACTTGATGAGAGTCTACTTTCTGAAATTTAATGAAAGGAAATTGCTTACTTGCACTTCCTCAGATAGTTCCGTTTCGTGCAGTATCAAATCTCGTGCCATCGGACCTAATAGTTTGAATTCATTTCTGGCGACAGTTCAAGTGTGCGCGTATCTTAATTTCTGTAACAAGTTCTTTTAATAAATGGATAGCTAATTAGCTATCGATATCCATTTCTCATACTAAATAGGTTCGGCATTACATCATTATGGATAATGTAAATGGGTAGGTCATTCTCTAGCTGGCGATTTCCATACAAGCAAACTACACGTCTTGATCGGAAAGCGAACATGCAAAAAGAAAATAAAACGGAGGAGTGTACTCTGATCTTTCTCGCCACGAGTCTGACTTGTTCAACATTGCAAAATCAACAACAACCAGGCAAATAATCTTTATGGACAACACCATGAGAAAGACTTAGCAGGTTTGTCGCGGTGCATAAAGTAGTCGCAACGTCGGACTGATAGCTCGCGTCTCCAATCAATATCATTCAGCTACCATCTCAAAGCAGCCAGAGTAGTGAAAATCAACCCAAGGCAAGTGAAGGCAAAATCGCTATGGCCTCCCCATCGATAACTAGAAGCTCGCCGCTTTTGAAACATTTTGTCGAGAACTTGACCCTGCAGGACATAATTTCACCTGAATTACTCCCGGCCTCACAAGAATAGAGCAATTTAATAAAGTAACTTGACATACATATATTTTTTCTTGCTTTCTCTGATGTTAACCGCCTGTACTTCACCCATGACCTCATCTCCGACATAGACAGGCCACTTGAATTGCAAGCTTTGGGACACGTAGATGGCTCCAGGCTAATGATCAGCAATACATGCAAGGAAATATAGGTATCTCAGATAAGAGCACATAAACCTTAAATCAAATTCAGACATCCTTGTACTCTGCGCTATATTACTTTGATAGAGTCATCTTGCAGAACAACTATGAAATGCTTTGGAGCGCTCCATTTTAACCATTGGCTCTGGTAAAAAACAAGGCACATCCATCAACTAAGATGCACCTGAAGCAATAACCACCTGTTACCAGATTTTCTATATCAACATATGGGTAGAATACATGGACCTGCCTCGCCTATTTAGTGCTAAAGAAGCAGTTACTCTGCCACTATATATGCATACCGTACCGGTACCATGACTAAAGATTCCTCTAGTATCCAACGACAAGAATCATGAACAATCAAAAGAAGAAACTAAAGGAAAAAGAAGTATTAAAATAAACTTACGAAGCGAGAGGCAATAATTCGTGGGAACAATGCAGCAACAAGCATCCCATGGACAAGTCGTTCTTCAAATCCTGAATTCCGAGCTACTTCAGCATCAAAATGAAGAGGATTTGAATCATGGCTCACTTTTGAATAATCAATAATGTCTTCATCGGAGAATATTCTACTTTGCCTTAAGATATCTCCGGTCCTCAGTATTTGGGGTCCAGATGATGAGAAGCACCTCATAGAACCAAGAATATTCACATGCCTAAGAATTGACATGTTGATCATAGAGGCACACTCCGCTCCTATCCCGGATAATGGAAGCGAATTGCAGCTTGATCTTCTAACAAACAAGCAGAGAAGGAAGAGAGCGGGACATACGATTTAACTCCTGCAGACATCAATACATACACAGATAAGCACATACAGAAAGAAAGCGATGCTCTGATCTAAAGATAATTGCCTGATCAATTACTGTCACCATGCACCACATAAATGGGCTCAGAGAAAACCATAAGTAGTATTCTCATTTTGTTCTTCATCGTATCCATGCTTTATGAGACCAAATAATTGAATCAATGGAAAAGTGCAAAAGGATTTATGATAGTCTTTGAAGGGTTGACCAGATGAAATAGTTTAAAAGCAAATTCTGCACTTAATTAAGTTGGCATCTTGATCTGGTTATCCAAGCGCTGTCTCTGGTTATTAATCAAAAACAGAAGGATCATGGTGCAATGGTAAACGGGCAGCTGTGCAGTATATCCATTTAAATAAATGGTCCAGGAAAAGTACAACAAAATGGTAATAAAGACCTAAAGGAATTGAGATCTTCTCATCTTAGGACTACAGAGTGATTTAAGGAACTATACAGCCATCAACCATCAATAGAAAGACAAGGTATTTCTCCCCGATAATATGACACGGGTGCTAGAAATATCATGAAATGAAATAGAAGGATGGAAGAGCTAACGACATCCCTACCTGAATACATTTCTATGATCTGAATGTCCAAAATCATCTTCAAACACACATTGAAGCTTCCTATAAGTATCTACATCCAGAACGTCCTTCTCTTGCAGGCCCTTCAGCAACATCATAGCCTCTTCTACCCTTCCTCGTCGGCATATCTCATCAAGGATTGTCCTATAGGTGATAAAATCGACTGACATCTGCTTTTCAATCATCTCCCACAAATAATTCACTGCATCCTCAACTTCACCACCCAAAGACAAAGCATTCACTAGTGAATTATACGACTTACTGCTAGGGGTATACCCTTTTTCCTTCATTTCATTGCACAGCTCAATCGCATTTATTGTCCTGCCTTGGGCACATAACCCATGAATTAAATAATTGTATGAGAAGGAGTTCGGCTGACACTTGTAAACCACACCCATCTGATGAAATATTCTTAAAGCATCATTCACGTGGAGGGAAAGCACATAACCTTTTATCATGCAATTCAAAGTAAAGATGTCTGGTTCAATCCCATCACTGACAATTTGCTTAAAGAGGCCTCTTATGGTCTCCATGTACACATGATTAACATAAGAATTCCTTCCCCTGCTCAAAAATGCTGCAAATAGAAGATTGTAAGTTCTAATTGAAGGCCTACAGTCCAACTTCATGCAGTTCTTCATATGCTTAAATATATTGACTGCTCTAGTCAGCTTCCTTGCCTCAGTGAAAAAGTATATGATGGAGTTGTAAAGAGGCTCGGTCCCAATATGAGGAACAGCTAATACTTGATTAACGACACCATCCATTTCCTCGTACATTTTTGCAACACCGAGCTTCTTTATCGTGATATGATAAGTGGAAGCGTCATGTCTGAACCTAGGCTGTTGAGAAGCCCAGTTGAAAAGCTCCAAGCAAATTAGAGGATCCTCCTGGAGAGTGATGACATTGCAAAGTTCTTCAGATGAAAATCTGGGTGGGAGTTGGGAAAGCACCCGTCTAAATCGGGCTTCATCAAGCGTAGGTCTGCTGTTGGCTTTTAATCTTTTACTAGCTCTCCTTCTGAAAGATCTTGATGCGGGTTTAGATGAATATAAGGAGTACAAGGAAAATTGGCCATAGGTGTGATGCGAACCATTTAGACAATTTCTCCAACAAAGGTTGGCACCGGTTTGCGTCAAATTGTGCCTACACTTAGATGAATTATAGAGAGAGGATACATGATAGGAAGCATTATAGTGTTGGGTAGCTGATGACAAAACAGGATGCAGATAGTAAGTCAAGGTTTTAGGGAGATTCGACCGCAAGAGTTTTTCAACAGCAGTCATATTTAAGTCATGAGAGAATTAGGGACAATATTGCAGATGCCACAGAAAGGAGGGCTCGGATATCTAACCTCGGTGTCTCACACAGTAATGCCTACAAGTTAAAAAAGGAAAAGGGGGAAACCGAGTGCAATGTCAGGAACCAGCAAGCGTAAGCAATGGGATTCAGCTTCCTTCTCAACTGAATGATCTTTGTCGTACATGGATGATCCTCCCCTTCATCAATGCTGAGGGGCTGTTTACACCAAAAAAATCCGCGAAGACAGTAATTGAACAGCTCGAACGACTGTTCAGACCATACACCAAGAAAAGGAAGGCCAAAAGAGCATCTTCCATCCACTTCCTACCCGAGGAAGCCTCGGTCGCTCATTCACACGCCGGACATGAATTCAATCCCTGAACGGCAGACTACGAGAACGCCGATTTGGGCGAGTTCGTTCGCCAGCTCCAACGTTAGGCAGAGGGGCCACGGATTGGATTTCTGTAAGAAGCACAATCTTAAAAATTACACACGGAACGCTCGCATCCGAACACCGGTCGCGCACAACACGCGCTTAACTGCATAAGCCACCGAGCCTCTTGTGCGCAGAATCCGAGGACAAGTTAAGCACAAACTAAGGAACAACGACAGCACATTTCTACAGTTTATGTCGAAGCAGCCATTACAGCGAAAGAGCTAAGCTCAGCAACTGTTCATTAGACAGAACCAGCAGCAAAATGTGAATGCGGAACTGGAAAAAATCAGAGATGAGAGACTCCGATTGGGGCGAGTAAAACGAGAACGGATCTCACCCTGACAGAGGAGGAGCTTCGCCGGAACCCTAACCGCGTGCTCAACGACGGCGGAGCGAGGAAGGGTTTCGAGGATCGACGATTCCGACGGGAGCGATTGCTGCTGACGGAGGAGCAGCGTCGCCGTATCGTGCAATAGTAATAAATGTACCTCCCACCTTCACCGGTTTTTAAGTGGATTTTGATTCAACGTATAATTTCATTCTTAAATTTTTAATTTATTCAATATAATTTTTGAACTTTAATTTAATGTTTAATGTCAATGTGGTCTCTGAATTTTTGGTACATGTTCAATTTAGCCCCTGAACTTTATAAAAATGTTCAATGAAGTCATTCCATTAATTCAAGTTTAAAGACTATATTGTACATTTTCATATAGTTCATAGACTAAATTGAACATGTATCAAAAGTTCATGGATCATATTTAACAAATTAAAATTTTAGGAACTACGTTGAACATTAGGCTAAAGTTCAAGGATTACATTAAATAAATTAAAAATTTCGAGATCAAATTGCACATTGAGCTAAAATTCGGGTACTGTTTGTGACATTATCCCTAAATATTATTGTCACAATTATCATTATTATTTTAAAGGGACATATGTACTAGAAGTCCTAAAATTTATCACGAAAATGTAATTGAGTCATAAAACTTGCAAAAATTACAATCAAATCCTAGAACTTATCAAATTGGTTCAATCGAGTCCAAAAGTTAACACCGTCTAACTTACTAACTGAAATTGCTGATGTATCTTATTTTATTACTTTTCTTAAGACACATGACGGTGATATGATGTCCAATAAGCGCCACATAAAAAAAGTTAAAAAATATAAATTAAATTAGAAAAAGCTAAAAGTAAAAAATAAAAATAAAAAACAGACCCACAAACCAGCGGCCATGGCTAAGACCTCGCTGGTGGCTGTTGCCACAGTCGCCAGGAAGGGCTGACGGAGGTCACTTGGGCCTTCCCAAAGCCCAGCAACCCTCATTAGCCTAAGGCAATGCCTCGGCAAGGGGCTGTAGGCCCCGATCTGCGGGAGGGCGCGATCCTCACCCTGGGCGACCCTCAAATGGGGTGGACGACCCTGGGCAAGGCCTTGTCGCCCTCGCTCAAATCTGGGGTGAGGGTCACACCCTCCCCCATATCGGGGCCTACAAGCCCTCACCGAGGCATCGCTTGGGATTGGCAAGGGTCGCCGGGCTTCGAAAAGGCCCAAGCGACCTTCGTCGGCCCTTTACGGTGGCCACCAGCAAGTTCTTGGCCACAACTGCCGGTGGCCACCGCTGGTTTGTGGGTCTTTTTTTAAAAATTAGATTAGTATTAAAAAATAAATTTGGGCTAAAACGACGTAGTTTAATCTATGTTTCATAATTTAGCCACGTCATCATTACATATGAGAGAGAAAATATTAAAATAAGCTACGTGAGTAATTTTTGCTAGTAAGTTAGATGATGTTAACTTTAGGACTCGATTGAACCAATTTGACAAATTTTAAAACTTGATTGCACTTTTTGCAAGCTTTATGGCTTAATTACACTTTTGTAACAAGTTTTAGAATTTTTAGTGAACATATCCCTTATTTAAATGGTATCAACCTAATAATGCAATGAAAATAACAATATAATAAATCAGAAAATTAAATTCTAGAAACACTGTATCATTGTATGTGAGTTTTTCTTCAAATATTTTGGCTCAAGTTCTGCCTTTTAAATCAATTGTATACAGGGTGTCTAAACAATTAGTTAGGAAATAAAAAGAGCAAGACTTATGCAAATATTGTATCAAAGAAAGGAGGATGAATATAAAATGTCTTTTGACTTTGCTTTTATACTCTAAAAGGGAAATTAAAATACACGGAAAGATCCATCTTAAGCGTTACTGAGTTTGATTAAAGAATCGGATAAAAACCGTAACTTGTTATCAATTATTTAAAACTTACTTGAATTTTGAGATAAAATGAAAAAGTTGTAGCTCAAAAAGCTAAAGTTCATTAACTCTGACCTTATTATTATATTTCACAATTTTTTTTTGTCAAATCAAGGTAATTTGGAATTATTTCAATTACTTTTCCAAGTAATAAATAAACATAAGCGCTATGTTCCAAAATGATTTTCAACTTTTGATACTTTATTTTAGATTATATACCGCAAGTATAGATCAATTTCGCTTTTCTTGAAACTTCGATTTGGCATTATATTGTATTCTGTTTACTTTCCTCGGGGTTAAAAGCAAAAGATATAGTGAATCGTACGTGAACCATACTTTAAATGAGCGATAAATTATCAAAATTAAAATATTATCGTTAACTTTTTACATTTCGCTAGGTTCGAAATTAAATGAATTTCAATGTCAGGAGAATTTTCTATATTTGAGAAACACTTTACTTTTGCTTTATATATTTTTCAATATTTAAATTAATAAGATTTTAAAGTTTTGGAGTGACAAAATAAACTATTTCTTTGAAAATATTCTCTTTCCTTTTTCATATTTTTCAAATTTAAACTCAACAAGACAAAAAAATTTAGAGATGACTAATCAATAAATTGACGCTTACTGATCAAATGAGGATCACATAATAAAGTTATGTCATGTGTCGCATCATGAGTCTGTCGTGATGAGCAGAAAAGCGAAATTTCGTTTTTAAATATAAACAATAGATCGGATCGATAGAAGAGCAATAACATTCATATCGCGAAAAAATAACTAATACTGGATAAATGAATTAAAAATTGCACAACAACTATTAACTGATCATTACACGATAAATACAAGTAATTGCTAAATTAACAAAGCCCGGAGAAGGCGACTCTAAGACTGCACCCAGCAAGCAGGCATGGAACAAAGAAGCTCGAAAAAAGCAGCTTCTCTGTAGGGAACATGGCATGACAGAACTACATTCCTCTTTAACATCATGTTCTGCCCTGACGGGAATCTACAGATCCAGAAGTCGCATCATCGATGTCCCGCACGGGACATAACGAAGCATATTCGCAGAAGCTGCATTTCCAACGCTCCTGCTCGGGAGTGTACGTCGCTTCACGTTCGCCACGCCAGACCTCGAGACGAGTCCCGATTTCATTCTCAAACCAGTCTGGATCGTACGCGAACAGATCTTCGCCAAGCACTGAATGATCTTTTTGTAATTCATACCTGCTTCATGTAGGTCACATAAGAGTCCTTTGCCATGTGCGGGAAAAAAATGATAATGCAGATTAAGGGAACTCTAGTTGCATCTAGAGCTGAATTAACAACTAAGATCATCATTTCTACGCTGCTCAACTTCGCAGCGAGGCACTTCTCAGGGATCACTATTATAGAGGCTTCAGCATGAAGTGAAACTTTCCAGTTATCCAAAACTCGGAGGCCTCTATAAGGTGGAAAAACAATCTGAATGGACATGTGTAGGTGCGCTTGTGTGAAAAGTCATGTATAGAAAGAATATTCAAAGGTGAAAATTCAAGTAAATTCTGCCTGTTTATATCGAAGTAATGATAGCACTAACTTCAGAGAAACACTCAAATCATATTAAACAGGGAATAAGGCCAGCCACATTTTCTATCAGTCCTGAAAGCTATCTTTTATGCACTTCTAACAATGCAGTGCAACCTAATAGATTTTACTAGAGCATTAACTTCAAAACTCATGCATCACCAAGCATGTGAGGGAGATAATGCCAAGTCACAATCCAACATACCTCAGTAACAGCTGATCGTTAGCCATAGGTAGCATTGGACATGTGTTCCTGTAGTATCTCAATATGTCATCAAGGTTCTGCAAGAAAACCAAACAGAAAAACAAATATGATCTCTAAAGGGGAAAAGTGAGCAACTCAAAGTTCCTAACTCATTGTGCAAGAAAAGTTTTCCTAATATGAATAAGTTCTTTGTGATATCATCCTAGTGATTATTGTCCCAGTAACACAAATCAAAAGACAAACCTAACCAGATGCCGCATGCGCGTCTTTTCAGAGAAAGGTGCATCTTTGCAAGGTCAGTGAATCCCCTAACAACCTAAGGCACCTCTTACCATCTTAACATTTTAAGAAACAAAGCATTAACAAAAGCACATCACGCATCAGTAAGAAGGATCAAGACAAACTTTCTGCGAATTGGAAGTAACTAATCGAGGTAAAAGGATTCTTCACCTCTGCAGGAAAACCTGCATTAGCAACATTCTCCCTGATATCTTCAGATAAAATACGAAGAGGGTTCAAATTAAAATAATCGAAGAATTGTTTACTGGGGAAGTTCTTGCCCACTGACAAATCCCACATATGCTTGTAGCACATCAACTGAAACCTGCAAATATCAGTAGAAAGAAAGGTGTTTAATGACTTCAACTCAAGACTCCAAGTCAAATGAGCTTTCCACACTTGCATAGAAGATTCAAATGGATTCATTCATAATTCCTCAAGTTACAAACCGTCCATTTCTTCTCTGTGGTTCAGCTGGAAGTGAATTTCGGACACGAGTTTTGATGTCCACCAGTATTGGGTTTCTCTCGGTTCCACAGACAGGCATTCGAACCTCATCAATCACTCCCACCATACAAATATCTTGTAAAAAGCACATTCTGAAAACATAAGCAACAATCACCCATTAGCAAGGAGTACATATACATACACAAACTCATAATTCAAAGACCCAATACAGAATTCTTAGTTAATTTTAACAAATAAAACTAAGTTAAAGCCATTTGGGTTCTCCCCAATGAAATATTATCTTTCGAGGCAAAAAGATGTACTATACAGCTGCAGATTAGTTCAAGCATGAAGATTGGACCTCCTAGCAGTTAATGATGCCATCACATAGCCGTCGCTACCATCACAACCTTGGTGAATTGTGATCTGGGTTAACCCAATTTTAAGTACTCTAACATTCGGTATCATCAAAATTGGTGATCAGAGCGGTGCACTGCCTACTCACTCAATTAAAAGTCAACAAAATATATCTGATGCTCATACTTTACTCTATAACATATTTGCACATTCTTTGACCTTATTTAGGCTTTTCTATTTACAAAACCTAAGTAGAATAAGCAAACAAACTGATTGCGCTTACCTCTTCTATTGAACCGTTTTCTTGACATATTTTATAAAAGAGGACCATGTTCTTCAGCGTAACTAAGTTAGTTAGAGATGCAGCAGCAATATGCTTGTCCAAACCACCAAAAAGAGAGGAGCCCGAGAGGGAAATGGATATGCAGGCACATGGACTCACATTGGCAATTCACGAGTTAACCCTTCAAACAACAGTTGATTTACACCTGTTATAAAGTTCATTAATCTGGTAGCCCAACTATCTTCAGGAGATTTTACGCGAACTTTAACCTTTTTAACAACCTGCAAATACACGATAAATTTAAGTTTATCAAGTAAAAGTTTGACAAACTCGACGTGATGTTGTGTCTGTTTGTGGCTGAGTTCCAAAAGTCCAAGCACGTTTTTCCGCATGCAAAATTGCAAATAGAGGAAGCAACCTAAGACGCATACCTCTTGTTCAAGCTTCTCATGGCGAGCAGTACCTGCTTTCATAGCTTTTGTAGTTCTCCTCTTCCCAACAAGGAGATCAAACTCCATCTGCTTTTCACACCATTCCTGCCATTTATGCAAATATAATTAACATAGTTCGACATCCATAATTAGGAGAGTCATGCTTTTAGCTTGAGTAGACGTAAGGACGATAGATTATAAAACGAGCCATTCCATACATTATTTGAATTATAAAAGAAAGCAACTCAGCCTTTCACAGCGACATCGCACGGCAGGGTATTTAGACAACTAGTAAGCAGATGATTGCAACTGCCCATTTTCAGTCAAGAGTGGATAACCCAATATCCGTATTCATCTCCCTGCAACCTAAACTGACTTGTCGCCATGTTAACTACACGCCGACATTTGAAATTTGCAAGCAGCCATGACCTCGAATACCTCTAAACATCAGCGGTGACATAGAGACTACACAAACATGCCCGAACAGTGCTCATACCGGCACAAACAGGACACAACAAACTAGACATAACCACAGTTAATGAAGAGAAATACTTATTAGACTACCGTTAATCGACCGTGAGATTAACGGCCTGTTCTTGATTACATAAAAATGAATAATAAATAATTAAAAATTATTATAAGGTTTACTCTTTCAAAAATTTGTGGCTCACAGCAACGCTGTTACTCGAAGTGGGCCAAAGACCGATACGTTAGCAAAGCCCATTAACGACTTTCGTCTAAACTAAACATTAAAACCCGAGGCATTTTGACTGTGGCGCAAATTAAGCTACAAGAACGCCAACATGATGACAGGACACGAGATGTCACCTCTGAAACGGGGAAAGAAAAAGGCGGAAATTTCTGGAAAGTACCGTGCGGGTAATATCAGTGACAGACAAGCCCTTCTTCCTCCTGAACCGTTCCAACAACGACCGAGCCTCTCCTTCCCCGTCCTTCCCCGTCGGACCTCCGCGATGACTCCCAAAGTCCTCGAAGTCGGATTCCGACCCGCCCGACGGCCCCCTCCCGGAGACGGCCGAGACGGACCCGACGGACCGCGCGCTCCTCCGGAACCCGGGAGGGGACAGAGCCTTTCCGGCGAGAGAGACGCGGGCGGCGGCGGCGGCCAGGGCGGTTTCGAGGAGCGCCATCTCGTCGTCGCTCACGATCTCGATCGGGATCTCCTCGGGAGGAGGAGCGGCGCGGCGGTGGGGGAGGATGCGGCGGTGCTCGGGGTCTTTATAGGGCGCGGGCTCGGGTGGCGAATCGGTCATTTCCCGCAACCGGGGCGACCGAGCCCCGCGTCGTGGAGGGAGTTGACCGTTGGAATCGCCGGGAAGTTGGGCGTTTCGTGGGGGCGCGGGGGTACAGGTTGAGTGAGATCGTGGCTTCTTCTTCTCTTGTGCGGGAGGAGGAGGACGGGGCAGTGGTTTTGAAGCCTGATGTGCGAAATTCCCGTCGTGCCCCAGCGGGCGTCGGTTTGTGTGCGCCACCTCCCGGGGGTTCTTTCGGCTTTTCGTCTAGAGCTTGTCTAGTCAAACTCGCTTCAGTTGTTCTTTTCCATTTTTCCCCGTCCTCGCACGGCACGAGAACCGTTTTACGAAAAATTCAAAACGTACATCTTCAGCATTAAAAAAAAAAAATTACATTTACATATTCAAGGGTTTTAATTTTGGGTATGGATTCTATACCATTGCTAATCCGCTAAATAAGTTATGAAGTACCGACCAAAAAAAACATTTACATGTGTAGGAAAATAACACAAATAATCCCTGAATTTTAGTTCAATGTACAATGTAATCTTTGGACTTTAAATTGAACATGTACCAAAAGTTCATGAACCACATTGAATAAATTAAAAGTTCGGGAACCACATTGCATATTGGTTTAAAGCTCGGGGATCATATTACACATTGATCCAAAGTTCGGGACTGGACGATGGGCCTAGTGTCTCGACGGGGCAGCTCAGGCCCCCCATGGTCAAAATGGACAGGCTTGGATTAACGGGTTTGGGTAAGGATTTCGTAGGCCCAATTCCATGAGGCCCGTCCATTGATAAGTCGAGTGGCGAAGGAGGAGACGAGAAAGGAGCCGGGGAACGAAGGCAGCAGCGGAAGAGATGGAAGGAGGAAACTGATGCGCGCATGGAGAGCAAAGACTTCGTCCATGTCGCAAACCGATCGTCGTATATTTCTCGCCAGACGACGGACGTGTCTCCATCCCGAGGAGCCCAGCAAACCAAACAAACTCTCGCGTCGCCGAACCTTGATTTTCTCGATCCCCCGCGTCATATATATATATATATATACGGTCCAGCTCGCTACCAGAAAGTTTCACAGCAAGAAACCGGCGGAGCGAGCTGGTGCGTGAGCGCGCGATAGACTGATCGAGTGTGTGTACAGAGCAACTCGGCAATGGGAACTAGAGCGACCCTTTTGCTCCTCATCGCCGTGCTATGCTACGGCCTGACGTGCGTGGCTGCTGCTCATCAGCACCGCCACCGCCACAAGGAGGAGGAGGAGGAGGGAGGAGGAGACTGGAGGGGAGAGAGGGAAGAGAGAGTAGAGAGGAAGGAGAGAGGAGAGAGCATGTTCCTGCTGCGGGACTGGAAGCGCGTGGTGCACACGGACGCCGGCGAGATGAAGGTCCTGAGGAGCTTCAGGGGTGGGAGGAGCGCCGAGAGGACGACGCGCATCGGCTTCGTCACCATGGAACCTTGCACTCTCTTCATCCCCCAGTATACTGATTCCAGCTTGGTCCTCTTCGTCCGCAAAGGCAAGTCTGACTGCATTATCAATTGTCGCTTTGCTTCAAACAAACTTGGGCTTTGATCGTTGATCAGATTGCCATGTGGGGGTCACTGTCAATTTGGATTGTGACGGGCATGACTCGAAAGGCTCGGTTTGATTGCTTGCAGGAGAAGCGAGACTCGGGACGATATACAGAAATGACGCAGTCGAGAGAACTCTGCGAAACGGGGACGTGTATAGAGTTCCGGCCGGCTCCGCATTCTACTTGGTGAACGCCGGAGAGAAACAGACGCTCCACGTCATTTGCAGCATCGACATGGACGCGTCCGAGGACTTGCCAATGAGGAATTTCCAGGTAATTTGTCCGAAAGTCATTCCTAGAGATTGAAACGATGCGGTTCGACTAGCGTTTCCTAACGTGTCGTTGCGATTTAGCAGTCTTTCTTCCTTGGCGGAGGGCCGAAACCTGCATCGATACTCACTGGATTCGATCCGCAGACACTGGCCACAGCATTTAATGTGAGCAGACAAATTATACCACTCCTGTTGATGAAATTGCTCGACTTTTCGACGTTCTTATGCGATACAATGCGACCCTAATTGCGAATGTGGTGGCCGTTGCAGGTTTCAAAGGGAGAAGTGGAGGAGATATTGTCCAGGGAAAGAGAAGGTCCGATCGTGCACATGAGCGATTCGCACCGGCCGAGCGTGTGGTCCAAGTTCATGGACTTGGAGGAGCAAGACAGGCTGAAGCATCTCCAGAGAGTGGTCCGAGAGAACGGGGGCGAAGACGAGGACGAGCCGATCAAGTGGTCGTGGAGGAAGCTGCTGGACTCGGTGTTGGGACGCAGGAGGCCGGAGAGCGGGGATGAATGGGGACTTCACCACGCGCCCGACTCGTGCAATCTCTACGACCGGAGCCCCGATTTCAGGAACGATTACGGATGGAGCATCGCGCTCGATGAGTCCGATTACAAGCCTCTCAGGCACTCCGGAATCGGCATCTATCTCGTTAATTTATCCGCGGTAATTAAATGGACATAAGGTCTTAGGGAAATTTGATGCTGAATTTTTTGTATCGTTTTCATAGTTTGCGAGTTTTTTTTATTGGTCATGGAATCGAATTTCCGTAGGGCTCCATGATGGCGCCGCACGTGAATCCGACCGCAACCGAGTACGGCATCGTCCTGAGCGGCTCCGGCACGGTCCAGATTGGGTACCCGAACGGGTCGTCGGCGATGAACGCCAAGGTGAAAGAAGGCGACGTGTTCTGGATCCCGAGATACTTCCCCTTCTGCCAAATCTCTTCCAAGAGCGGACCCCTCGAGTTCTTCGGGTTCACGACCTCCGCCCGCAGGAATAGGCCGCAGTTCCTGGCGGGCCGGAACTCGGTGCTCCGGGCCATGGGCGGGCCCGAGCTTGCCACGTCGTTCGGCGTGAGCGACAAGAGGTTGGAGGGGTTGCTCCGCGCGCAGAGGGAGTCCGTGATACTGCCCTCGCCGGAGGCGGCGGGCCATCTCGAGAAGGGCTTCGACGGGGATCTGATCACGGACTTCTGAATCTTTGCTTGATCTCCGGTGAATAAGAAGGGATTGATGGAAGAGCAAACGGGATATTGCTTAGTGAAGTTTCCTTCGATTCAAATTTTGTTTTGTTGATTTTCTTTCATCAATTCGAGAAAAATCGTCCATCCATGATGAGTTTGCAGGGTTTTCAATGAATTCGAGCGGTTCTTTTTGTTGTTCATTTGCTCCTAAACGTGGTTCTTGAACTTTAGTTTCTAGACTATATAAAAATATTCAATATTATTCCTAAACTTAAATTAATGAAAGGGCAACATCGAACATTTTCATATAATTCAGGGACTAGATTGAGCATGTATCAAAAATCCAAAAATCACATTAAATAATTTAAAAGTTCAGAGATAACGTTGCACGTTATACTAAAGTTTATGGACGACTATACTACACATTGAGCTAAAATTCATGGTCTATATCATTTTCGAAAAGAACAATAGAATCTTGGAGGCACATAAACCTCCATTTTGGTCAAATGGGCTACAAATGTGGACAAATTGACAATCTTTTCTCGAAGTATCCATAACTATATATTCCTTCTTTTTATGTTATCGAGCTAAAAGCATCATTTATCTCATCTTTTTATTTTTCAAAATAATCGTCTAATAAATAATACCTACTTATTAAGTAACCACCCACTTTCTTTATACGCATTATCCTCCGAATAATCCTCCTCTCATTTTCTTTTTCCCAAAATTGCTTATCTTTTTGAAAGTATAGCAAAACATTAGTTATAGTTTATTTTCTACATAAGAATCCTTGTATAATGGTTAAAAAAAAGGCAATTATTATAAATATTTTATTTCTCCATCGAATTAAAGTTACTTATTTCATGATTAATTAATTGTGATGTTGCACGAAAAATGAAAAATAATCGAGCATGCGCGTGGAAACTAATGCCGAATACGGACAAGCTACGGGTGATTTGATAGCATACCGATTCTTTTGGCAAAGAAAACGGCCCAATTAAAAAAAAAACCCTCAACTTTACACTTTGTCCCAAATATACCCTAAACTTTTTTTTGTCTCAAGAAAAACCACCAACTTTTATCTAAGTCCCAAATCTGCCCTCCCGTTAAAAATCCGTCCAATTAACGTAAAGAAAAAAAAAAAAAAAAACAGAGAACCGGCAGCTGCGGCGGTGGCTAAGCCTTCGCCGGTGGCCGCCGCCACAGCCGCCGGGAAGGAACGGCGGCCCTCGCCGACCCCGAGCGAGCCGCCGGCGAGGGCGCGTGGCCCCGATCCGGGCGAGGGTCGGCGAGGGCACGCGCCCCGTCTGGGGGCGAGGGCGCGACCCTCGCCCCCAGATCGGGGCGCGCGCCCTCGCCGGCGGCTCGCCCGGGGCGGCGAGGGTCGCCGCCCCGGGAAGGCCGGGCGAGGGCCGCCGCTCCTTCCCGGCGGCTGTGGCAGCGGCCACTGGCGAAGGCTTGGCCACCGCCGCAGCTGCCGGTTCTCTGTTCTGTTTTTTTTTTTTTTTTTTTTTTTTTTCCTTGACGTTAATTGGACAGATTTTTAACAGGAGGGCAGATTTGGGACTTAGATAAAAGTTGGTGGTTTTTCTTGAGACAAAAAAAAGTTTAGGGTATATTTGGGACAAAGTGTAAAGTTGAAGGTTTTTTTGGGAATTGAGCCCAAAGAAAACTATATAAGTACCAACTTTCTATGGCAAAATGTCGTGTAATATCAAAAGGAACTACAATGATTGGTCTCGAGTACGATTGAAGTGGTAAGAAGTCGTGCAACAATAAAAAGTTTCACGTGATGATTTTGGCTTGGAGCACCGGACCGACGTCAATCACATTAAATAAAATTTCTATTTTGCTAGGACGCGATATTAGGTCGTACATCTTTATAAAACGTCGTATTGTTTTCAAAAAGAACGTACTAGGATTTTGGCCTTTAGTACTATGTAAAGTTATACCGTTGTACTAAGCGGCCAAAAAAAAAAAATGCTGTTGCACTTAACAATCGATTCCACTTGAACCATTTCATTAACTCCGTCGATTTTAAGTAAATTAAAAACTTACCTCGGATTTTGTATAAATTTTCCGTTCCTACACTTCCTTTGAGCATTTTATAAACCTTCTAACACGAAATCACGTGGTTTTGTAATGTCACGTCACAAAATTTTAAAAAAAAAAATTAAAGAGATGGAAAATAAAAAAAAATTTAAACTTGCCTCGTGACTGAGAAAGGATTGCCTAACCTCGCTGATAGGGTGGAGTGCTCCCTTGTGGGCCCGTGTCCCGTATGGCGTGATCCTGTTTCTCAAACTCAAGAAAATATTCGGTGATTTAAAAGCGCCACATCAGCAATTACCCAGATCCAATTAGAACTTACACTGACATAAAATTAGACGAATATGAATATAATTTTTTCTCTCTCTTCCTCCCCTCTCCCTTCGTTGCTACGGTTTAGATCTAGCCGGAGTCATGGCGACCATGGAAAGACGGAGCCTACCAGATCAAGCCGGTGACGCCGCTGGTCCACACTTGACAAGGTGAAATCTAGAGCCATGGTCCACGACTGAGCCACCATTTTAGTTGCGACGACTCGAGTCGTTGTTCGTCCATGGCGAAGCCACCATTTCGTGGTTACTCGCATTTAGGCTCGTTCGTCACCGGATTTAGAAGTGGTTGTTCGCAGTCGTCTTCATCTTCCTCTATTCATCTTCGACTTTGTCTTCTTCCTTGCATTTGTTTATATTCGTCTTGGCCATTGGCCACCGCTAGATCTGGTCGCTTCGTCTTCTCGCCATCACTAGGGCTTCAGATATGGTATTTAGCTTCATCTTCCTATGTTCATCTTCGGATTATCCTTCCTCTGTGCGTTTGCTTCGTCTTCTCGCCTCGTTGGTCACTATTCAGGTCCGGTCACCTTTGTCTCGCCAGGGCTCTAGATTTGGTCGGCTAAAGCATATTCGCGAAAGCGAAGGCGAAGGGTGAAAACTCACTACCGGGTGTGACAGCCACGACAATGCAGAGGACTTAGAGGATGGAGTGCTGGGGCGATGGGGGCGGCAGTTGTTATGATGGAGGAAGAGAGAGAAACAAAGTTTTTAGTTTTCGTGTTTAATTCCACATCAACATATATGTGTCGAGCTGTAATTGGGTGGGAGCAAAAAAATGCTCGCCACATCAGTCGATGACGTGGTGAGAAGGAACGACCGAATATTTTTCTTCTCAAATTCTCCGTTGGCGATTTGTTAATGTTTTTCAATGATAAAATCGACGGTGGAGGCTCCCGTGATCGGCGACCGGTTGAAGCGATTTGTATTTTCAATGGCCAAGATCTTCCTAACATGATACAACGGCCTGGCGTACGGTACCTGTGGCTCCGTAGACCAACCCCGTTCTCACCGTCGTCCAACAAAACGACGTCGTCCAGTTCGTCCACGCTTGGGCAAAGGGCAACCTCCCGGGCCTGTACGGTAATTTCAGGCGCAAGCACGGGGATAATTACGTAAAACCGGTCGGTAGTCTTCGTACGATCACGACGCCTGAATCTGCGTAACCCGCACGCGCGTCTTCTATAAAGCACGAGAATCTCGTCGACAGCGCAAACCCTAAACCCTTCTCCCCAGCAGCGTCAACTCTTCATTTCTCCGGCTCGCTATCTCCCCGTTCGCGGCTTCGGTTGAATCCCGAGGCCTCGCGCTTCTTCGAGGCGAGTCCCATCCTTTGATCGGCTCTGTTGATGTTTTCATTTCATCGCTGCACGACTTCACAGTCGATCAGTGAACTGACTTTGCGCTCCGTTTCCGTTTTGCTTGAATTGATGGGTGCTGCTTGCTTCTCGTTTTTTTGTTAATTCCTGGGCGTGATTGTCTGGAGTGTCCTGTTGGTGATGTTTCTGGAGTGTAATCACTCGTAGTTGATTGCCGGAATTCTCGGTCGGCTTGTAAGCCGAGTGTCGCTGGGTGGCCTGGTTCGATTGAATCCGCGTATTCGTTTTCGAGTTCGTGCGCGTGATCTGGTGTTTCCGGAATTGCTTTCGCCCGGTGATGGGGAGGACTGTCCTTTTTTTCGCCATTACTTGTCCGGCTAGTGTTGATCGAAAAGCGCGGCTGTATTGCCTTGTGAATGAATTGGCGTGCTCGTGGGTGTCTACTTGACATGAATTTTGTCTATTCGAAGCTTGATTTTGTTAATTTTTTTATCTGGCAAAGGATTCTGCTTCATTCTTTCTCTTCATATGTGGGGGGTTGGTATTCATTTCCATTACTGGCTTGGCATATCTTGACTTTGGTCATGTCTTGCGTATCTGCGGAAATGTTGCTTGACCTTGTCGGGATTCGTTAGGCTCTGTTTCAATGGATTTTTCTTGGTAATGGAATGTTTTAGTCATTTTGGGTTGGTGAATTCTAATGCCAGTGCTGCTCGTGACGCTAACATCGTGTTTTGAGACTGTCCATCTATTTTCATCCTGTCCTGCACTTAATCAATCACGATCTCTGTTTTCCGTTTACTACTTTGAATGAATTTTGATGGTTGGCGGCTGGTGTGTGTTACTCCCTCCTTGTTAACGAGCGAAACTCTCCTTTTCCCTGCAGTTAGTTCGTTGGAGTTTCGCTATGGGTAAGGAGAAGGTGCACATCAGCATTGTGGTCATTGGCCATGTCGACTCCGGGAAGTCGACCACCACCGGACACTTGATCTATAAGCTTGGAGGAATTGACAAGCGTGTTATTGAGAGGTTCGAGAAGGAAGCTGCTGAGATGAACAAGAGGTCTTTCAAGTATGCTTGGGTGTTGGACAAGCTCAAGGCAGAACGCGAACGTGGTATTACCATTGACATTGCCTTGTGGAAGTTCGAAACCACCAAGTACTACTGTACCGTCATTGATGCTCCCGGTCACCGTGACTTCATCAAGAATATGATCACTGGTACCTCACAGGCTGACTGTGCTGTTCTGATCATTGACTCTACGACTGGTGGTTTTGAAGCTGGTATTTCTAAGGATGGCCAGACTAGGGAGCATGCTTTGCTCGCTTTCACTCTTGGTGTCAAGCAGATGATCTGTTGCTGCAACAAGGTAAATTCCTGGCAATCTATGGCTAGTTAAGCATTAAAGTATTTGCTGCTCGATGACTCTAACCTCTGTTTCTTCTTTTATTTTTGTCTAGATGGATGCCACTACCCCTAAGTATTCCAAGGCAAGGTATGATGAAATCGTTAAGGAAGTTTCTTCCTACCTGAAGAAGGTGGGTTATAACCCTGACAAGATTCCATTTGTCCCCATTTCGGGCTTTGAGGGTGACAACATGATTGAGAGGTCCACAAACCTTGACTGGTATAAGGGCCCTACACTCCTTGAGGCCCTTGACCTGATCCTGGAGCCCAAGAGGCCCACAGACAAGCCACTCCGCCTTCCCTTACAAGATGTCTACAAGATTGGTGGTATTGGTACCGTCCCAGTGGGACGTGTTGAGACTGGAATCCTCAAGCCTGGTATGGTTGTCACATTTGGCCCCTCTGGATTGACAACTGAAATTAAGTCTGTGGAGATGCACCATGAAGCCCTCCAGGAGGCTTTGCCTGGTGACAACGTCGGTTTCAATGTCAAGAATGTTGCGGTAAAGGATCTGAAGCGTGGTTTTGTCGCTTCTAACTCAAAGGATGATCCTGCCAAGGAGGCTGCTAATTTCACCTCTCAGGTCATTATCATGAATCATCCAGGTCAAATTGGAAATGGCTATGCCCCTGTCCTCGACTGCCACACTTCTCACATTGCTGTCAAATTTTCTGAGATATTGACTAAGATAGACAGGCGTTCTGGTAAGGAGCTTGAGAAGGAACCCAAATTCTTGAAGAATGGTGATGCTGGTTTTGTGAAGATGATTCCTACCAAGCCTATGGTTGTGGAGACTTTCTCTGAGTACCCTCCACTGGGTCGTTTTGCTGTTAGGGACATGCGTCAGACCGTGGCTGTTGGAGTCATCAAGAGTGTTGAGAAGAAGGATCCTAGTGGAGCCAAGGTGACCAAGTCTGCTGCCAAGAAAGGTGGAAAATGAACTGTGCAGGCTCATCTTGGTTCTATAGCAGATGGAACTTTCATTCCTAAAGGGGCAGTCTTTTTAAAAAATTTGCGTTCTTGTTGGTTCATTGTTTGCTTTATCCCGTGTCGTATAGCGTTGTTCTCTACGCACCTTCAAGCCACAGAAGTTTGCAGCACTGGGTGCTCTACAGGCGGTGGTGGAGACTGTTGATAATCTGAGTCATTGGCATGTGAATTGATTGGCTGGTCGAGGTGCTTTGGTTCTCCAAGGCGGCTCAAAAGTTTTGAGGAATTGTCCTTGTATTGAACTTCCCTTTTTTTTGTACGTCACTTTATTGTTAATGTCACATACTTCATATGCGTCTATAATCGACGACTTTATCCGTCAGCTGAATAATTTAGGTGATTTTATAGCTTTTAGTAGCTGAAGCATGCTGAGCCAAGCAAGTGAAAAGAGATACCAAGCAGAATCTGTATTTTAATACGAGATGTTCTTTTCAGATGGTCTCTGGGCTTGCCAGTTCTCTACACTTTCCGAGAGTTAAAAGCCTTTAAATCATTGGAGCAGGCATGTCTAGAAAGTGGTCAAACCAGTAAGCCCCACCCACCATCAGTCCCGTACGTTGATCGTCAATTGTTCAGCCTCATACATTATCATTTATTGTTCATGCTTCAATATTTGTCGCTCAGGTTGCAGGCTTTGGTAACTGGTCCAGATTAACGCCAAAAGACACAATGGATGACAAATGCAATCTATATATACCCACTCGATTCCAAATCAGCGTAAGCAAAAGGCGTCGCACAAGGTCCTTGTATGGTGGTAACAGCTGGTTTATGATGCATCTTATTCATAATCGTGTGCAACTCTTCATTCCCATTGTCCATATGGCATAAATAGAAACCTTGACTGAAGAGTCTGCATCTCATGGGGTAGACATATCGAGTCCCCGGACACTGTTTATATGCTTGGGCGACATAGACATGTACAGGAAAAAGTGAAAACATCGACGATCAAACTTTCGTCTTTTGGGTTGAGATTGATATTTCTCCCACTGGAGAGTTTTCTGACAGGAATCTTTGTATTTTTGCCCTTTGTTTCGGGTGCGACGTAACCGGCATGTGCTCAATCACGCACTTTTGTGAGGTACAGGTAAGAAAAGTCAAGCTGCTTTCCCTCTATTCACTCTGTCAGAACCTGATTTTTGTAAACCCTGAAAACATCCAAGTCTTTGGCCGACTGCACCGACGCACTCAAGGTAGGGATGATGAGCTGTGAGCACGACGTCGGGTCCCACGACAAGGACCCGACCAATGGCCTTATCCAGCGACTTCCCTGGTTCAGAGCTCTGATGCCATCGCGCGCACGGCTGTCATGCGCTTTCGCTGCTGTGAATGAGTCATTCTTAAAGAGCTAGAAATAGAATGCGCAAACAACGCTGGCCACTACTAATTCATGTGCTTCTTTCAGTTGAATTTTCCCAGTCTTTTCAACACATACCGTGTGCGGCTTCCTCTTTTGCCCAACAAAAAAAAAAAAGAGAGAGAGAGAAGAAAATTAGAAGGGAGAGAAGGGTCTAATCAGATTCTGACGCGAATTAAGGGTTGTTTGAAATGTCGTCAATTTGATGTCGTCGAAAATTCAATGTATTTAAACGTTCCAACATGTCAGGTATCTTTTAATCATTCACACCGGAATCAGGGTCCGTGGTGGGGGCGTACGTTCTCGGCCTCAAATAATTGGTCCAGCATCGCAACTCCACGAAAGTTGCATAACTAAGACAAAAGAAAAAAATGTCATTTTACGTGTTAAAGCTGCCAAGAACGCGACCCCTGCCCAGGAGAGCTGCCGTGCATTATCGTCTTTCACTTTTTTTTTTTTTTTTGGTCGAAGGTCGTCTTTCACTTTAATCGCTTGAAAATGCTATGATGTGTAACTTTTTTGATGATTCTCAGGACAAATGACACAGTAGACCCGAAGGAGATAGGACACAAAGTTGAATCCTAGACAAAGTTGCTTTAATCATCTCTTTTGGTTAATTATTGTCAAATGTTAGGGCTTAGTAAACAACTATCGGATCGTTCAAGATTAATCGAAAACATTTGACTCGAGAAAGAACATATTAAGTCAAGTCAATGTGTCTTACCCACTTTTATCGTCATACCAGTGGGCGATATGCGATACTTACGAAGTATATATATATATATATATATTTTCCACTAATTGAACTGTAGATAAATTCTCGTGACTTAGATTATCAATTCTTTTTTTTTTCGAAGATGCGATACCGACGGAGCATAGATATGTGGACACGCCGGCTTGCCAGCCGAGCGGATGTGGATAATATCGCTAATAAGAATGCCCATACAAAGCTCTACAGTACTAACACGTCCACATCAAGCTCTTTTGTCTATTTCGTCAAGTTAAACTCGGCTGACGAAGGGAGAATGACATCACCGGCGACGCTGAAGCAGATATAAAGATTTGAGGAAATCCAAGCCACATGTAAGATCGACCCACCAAGAAGTCAAGCAGAAGCATCAATCTGGGGACATGGATTCCCTTTATGTAGCCAACGATCCCAAGGTTGCAGGAGAGAGACAGGCCCAGAGCTCCATCTCTCTCTCTCTCTCGATCTCCAGTCAAGCCGCCTTCTTCCTCAGAGAAGCATGGCAAAGGTTCGCTTCGCAAGAGGGATGGCGCCGTCGGCCATGATTGTCCTCTGCAATTCGGTGAGTGGGTATTACATGGAGAGTCTTTCGGTGTACGTGCTAGAACAAACCATGGGGAGGTGTCGGCGTCGCGAACTTTAGATACCCGTTGCATGTCTCCTAGGGTTTGCTCGAAATGCCCGCGATCACAGATTCTCTCTTACTTGGAGTTGCCTTTGAGTCACGTCTGTCACCCACCCGGTTGAACGTAACCTTAACTGTTCGATGTACGTGTGTATCTGCCGGGAAATCAACTGGCTGATGGTCCGGACAGATGTGTCGTGTTTACAGAGGAGTTCCATATCGGAATGAGTTCTCTTGAAAATTCAAAACGGGTTTGTTCTGTCGATGGAGTCGCTCCGTGTAATACTTTTCGCGCGAACGAGATCAGGCCGCCGGCACCATTTCTCCCGCGCAGCAAACCTTCGTTCACATGCAGCGACGAGCTCGGTTTCGAGGAAGATTTGCAGCGCAGAGATGCGACGGCTAGTTCAAAGGTCAGTGTGTTGATTGATCTGCGTTCCCCTTTCAGGACGATGGACTTTTCGTGTCTCAGTTTCAGGTTGGGACTGTGAGCGGCTTTCAAAGCAGGCCTTTGGCCTGAGCTAAGATGAGGAAATGCTGTCCAGATCCGTAATGATTTTCTCTTGCTGTCGAGAGCTCTTTCGGGCATTCCATGCAACGACGGATCCACCAGGAAGGCTGACGTGAAGATTCATGCAATTTTCTGTCGGAGCCCATGCTGAATCTTCACACCCGTCCCCGAAGATGATTTCTGCAATTTTCGGGCGTGGCGGCATCATCCCGAATGGAGCCTGCTAAAGCGTGCCGGCACAGCGTGTAGGATGTCGATCTGGAGACGTTCTTGGGTGCATCGGGTCACGTGAGTTCCGATACATCCCTTTCCTTAGTTCGTGCGGCTTCCGCCGGGACCGAACGACATGAAGATTCGTGCAATTTTCTGTCGGAGCCCATGCTGAATCTTCACGCCCGTCGATTCCCCAGAGATGATTTCTGCAATTTTCGGGCGTGGCGGCATCATCCCGAATGGAGCCTGCTAAAGCGTGCCGGCACAGCGTGTAGGATGTCGATCTGGAGACGTTCTTGGGTGCATCGGGTCACGTGAGTTCCGATACATCCCTTTCCTTAGTTCGTGCGGCTTCCGCCGGGACCGAACGACATGAAGATTCGTGCAATTTTCTGTCGGAGCCCATGCTGAATCTTCACGCCCGTCGATTCCCCGAAGATGATTTCTGCAATTTTCGGGCGTGGCGGCATCATCCCGAATGGAGCCTGCTAAAGCGTGCCGGCACAGCGTGTAGGATGTCGATCTGGAGACGTTCTTGGGTGCATCGGGTCACGTGAGTTCCGATACATCCCTTTCCTTAGTTCGTGCGACTTCCGCCGGGACCGAACGACATGAAGATTCATGCAGTTTTCTGTCGGAGCCTATGCTGAATCTTCACGCCCGTCGATTCCCCAGAGATGATTTCTGCAATTTTCGGGCGTGACGGCATCATCCCGAATGAAGCCTGCTAAAGCGTGCCGGCACAGCGTGTAGGATGTCGATCTGGAGACGTTCTCGGGTGCGTCGGGTCACGAGAGCCCGATACATCCCTTTCCTTTGTTCATGCGGCTTCCGCCGGGACCGATCGACGTGAAAGATCCTGATGGCTCCGAGCTTACGAGCACCCGGATCACATAAGAGTTTCTTCTTTGTTTGTGGGAAATAATTTGATTATTTCATGCTTGTGCCGACTAATGTGTACGACCGGCGCTCCACCTTTTCCATGTGGTCTTTTAAAGAATTTGGTTATGAGCTGTTTTCAGGTTGACGGGTTCATCATCATCTGGCAAGAACTGAACTGGCTTCAGCTATTGGCTGTGTACTGTACTGTATTGTTGTTTGATTCACCATCAATGCATACTGTCGGGGCGACGCAACGTTATATTGAATTTTCTTTCTTTTGTTTATTTGTTTAAGCGGTCAGATGATATCGGATAGGCTTTCGCATGGTTCGATTGGTCTGCTTTTTCGAGCGATTTTAAGGGCATAACTTCTTCATATCGATTTGGTACATTCTTACTTGCAAGTTTGAATTCAAGATCACGAGAGGGATAATAACACAAATAATATGGTCCATGAACTTTTAATTTGTTCAATATAGTTCCTAAATTTTAGCTCAATATTCAATGTGGTCCCTGAACTTTTAATTTGTTTAATATGGTACTTGAATTTTTATTTTGTTTAATGTGGTACTTGAACTTTTGGTACATGTTCAATGTAGCCTCCAAAAGACTAGATTTAACATTTTTATATAGTTTAGAGATTGTATTGAACATGCACCAAAAGTTCAGGGCGACATTGAACGAATTAAAAGATCAAGGACCACATTGCATATTGGGTTAAAGTTCAGGAACCACATTGCATATTGGGTCAAAGTTCAGGGACTGTTTATGTCATTTTTCCATCACAAGAAAAGAGAGTTCTCATCGCCTATTGATATAAAAAAAGAAGAAAGAAAAATAAAAAGAAACCTACTTTAGTCAACAACTCGATGACAATTATTTCGGAACTTATTGATATAATTGATATAGATAACTACTTGCGACCTAAAAGAAACCAGGAAAAATAAAATAAAGGGGAGAACTTTCCGCGTGGTTAACAACTTCGCTTTTGGCTTGACTTTATAGATCGAGAGTGTTTGTTTCTATATTGCGAGTCACATTCTCATCCACAGAGCAATAACACTCTTGTTTATAATAAATTACCAAAGAATTATAGCAATAATTGTTCAATCGAAGTACGCAATCTTAAACCAAAATCTCAAATTCATAAATTGTAAATCGAGAATCGAATTAAATCTCCAATTATGCTATAATCAAACTGGCATTTTCTACGCAGAAACATCTAAAGTAAATACAAAGAATGTAGACTTACAAGTTTTAGTAAATTTAATGTTCAGGTGTAGAGATAACTTAGTCTCGAGTACATGTCCAGCATAACATGTCATAAGATATTGCAGCACATTATTCTTCTTGAAAACTCCGCCACATTATGTACGATTGGTATGTAATTTACAAAATTTTGTTATATATTTTACTAATATAGCATACATGGTGAAATGGGTTGAAACATACTTCATGCGATTTGTAAAATATATTGGCAGGTGCGTGCAACCGGAGCTCCGCATGTCTGCTCGACGGTTTAAGTGTTCACGCACTTCAAAGTCTTTGCCCTTGGATAACGATTGGTGTTCACCCCTTAGTCACCGAACAACGACAAGAGTTTCGCCTCTTGAAGCGCCAGTTGCGTAAGGCGACCGGGGCAAGCCGAGTCAGAAAAGGCTTTGATGGCTCAAGGTTCATCTTAAGAAACGGAACATCGGTAGCATTTTAGTAAAAAGATGAAAAGCCTGGACATTGGACAACACTGCAGGGAACATCGCCTAGTAACTCCATCCTATTCACCAATGAAAAAAATTCACACCGATGAACAAGGCCTAGTATTTCGATACTCCACATTCCAGTACAAAACCGATAATAACAACATATACATATCAAATTAGTAGATCCGGCATTAATCGACAGATATGCTTACAATGCAACGTGTTATAAATTCGCCTAATAGATATGCTTACAATGCAATATTTTATATTCTGTGAATTAAAGCAAAAGTGAAAGTCGAAAACTAAATCAAAAAAAAAAAAAAAATAGAGGAAAAAACCCATTGAGCTTTTGCATTTTGGGGTGGGGGGAAGACAAGATGCATTGAACTTGCCCGGCCTACAATATTAAAGTCCAGCCCACCTCACCTCTGCTTAAATCCTCCTTCTTGGCCCAAAAATGAGCCCAAGGAGCTTAACAAGTCAGGAGGAGTCTTGAATTACTCATAATCATTTGAGTTCTAGAACAAAGTCCCTTTGAGTGCACAAACATTTCAAAACAACAACAACAAAAAAAACATTGATTTCGAAATTTCTCGAATAACCCAGCATTAAAAAAAAGTTTTCGACTCTTGTTTCGGGGGATTTAATATTAGTGATTTTAACATAATTGCACGGATGCTTCTATCATCGTCATCCCGACATCGCTGTGTACACGTGCCCATCTTTCTGGACGGTAAAAAGAATATTAAGTCGAAACTAAATTGATTCTTTTGCAGAGGTAATTTATGTAGGTGAATGTGTACAGTTATCACATTTTGACAGTAGGTTGTGTTATATATATACTGCATGTTCACTTGTCCTATTACCAATATGGTTATTGGGCATGGAAAGATGGCTAACTATGAAATCGGACTTTTAGGATAAGGAAACGTCTTAAAAGTGGTATCGTAATAGCAAGGACGTAACCTTGTTTCACTACATGAGAAAAAATTAAAACATATTTAGTGGACAATCTAAGTTATGCTCGAAAATAAATTTGCCGCGAGAGATGATCAGCACCGATATACGTACCCTCTGCTTATCAAATCGAATCGCGACACGCAAATCCGTCTGATGTGGCAGGCGGAGCGAGCATCACTTATGACCACGGATGTCTTCTGGTTTACATAATGACGAGGGCTCGACGTTTTAAATTTCTAGCATTTCGGTGAAATTCGAACTTTTCTTTTATCTTTTGGCAACAGTAATAAAGAATTTGACCCAAAAAAAAAAGGGGCAGCAGTAACAAATAAAAGAGAAACAGAAGAAAAACGAGAAATCGAGCTCGCCCCCAAAGCAAAAGCGGTTGGATGGAGCTCCCAACCATCGCAGTATAATAATCCGTTCCTTTTCTTTTTGGAAAATGACATAAATAGTCCATGAATTTTGATTCAATATGCAATTTAGTCCCTGAACTTTAACTCAATGTTTAATATGATCCTTGAACTTTCAATTTGTTCAATGTGATCCATGAACTTTTGGTACATGTTCAATATAATCCCTGAACTTTATAAAAATGTTCAATATAGTCATTCCATTAATTCAAGTACATGGACTATATTGTATATTTTCATATATTTCAAGGACTAAATTGAACATTTATTAAAAGTTTAGGGATTAAGTTGAACAAATTGAAAGTTCAGGAATCATATTGAATATTGGGTTAAAGTTCAGGGATTACATTAAACAAATTAAAAATTCAGAAATCAAATTACAATTAAGCTAAAATTCAGGGACTGTTTGTGTCATTATCCCCTTTCTTTTTTCTAAAACATAAATATTTTCTACTGAACGAAAAAAGGAGCCGCCTCGCCCACACCCCGCACCGCCATCGTGTTGACCCTTTTTCCTCCTCCAGTGACGTGGAACGATCCGAGCCGCGAATTCCCGATGCCGTGCGCCCCCTGCCCTTCCTTCCCCCTCCCCATCCTCCCTCCCAGTCGCAGCAGAAGGGTGCACGTGAGCGCAGGGGAACGAAGCCCGGACTTGTTCCCGGTCGAGAGAAAACCGGATTCCATAATCGCCGATACGTCCGGGGGACATTTCTGTGGAATTTTTAGAGGGTGAGGATCCCCCGAACTTCTTCTCCCTTTTTTCCTCCGGTTCGGGGCATTTGTTGGGAGAGAGAAAGAAAGAGAGAGAGAGAGGGGGTGGGTCTCTGGTCAAAAGAAGAAGCGCAAACGCAATCACACGAGAGCGAGAGCAGGAGCACAGGAGGAGCAGGAGGAGGAAGAAGTCGGCGTCCGCTCGCGAAACCCTAATTGGCCTCTCCCTCTTCCCTCGCGCGCCATCGGCCTCGATCCATCGCCGCGTGAGTGTACCTCCCGCGGCCGCCTCCTCCGCCGCCGTCGATGCTTTCGGCGCTTCGATTTGCGGGGGGCGGCGGCGGCCGCGGGGGGAAGACCGTCTCGGTCGTCGCCGAATTTTTCTTTTTTTTTTTTTCATTTCTTTTAATTTTAGGTCCGTTGGCGGTATTGGTTGAGCTCGATTGCCGATTGTGTTTTGCTTCGCAGTTTTGATCGGATCATCCCCTGGAATTCGCGGCCGCGTAGTCCCGCACACGCTCCCTCCCGGTCGCTCTCTCCCTGTTCTGCTGGCGGAGGTGGATATGGATTTGGTAACTAGCTGCAAGGTACCGGTCTTTAGCTGACTGCTGAATTTTCTGGCGGCGGCGGCGGCGGTGTTGGTGTTTTACAGTCCTTAGGAGTCTCGAGTTGCGATTACCGTAATTATCTCGGTCTTTGTATGTCATTGGGCGGGTGTTGTCGCGTCGTGATTCGTATGGAGGAACGGGATTGCTCGGCGCGGTCGGCATTTCCGGGAGGACATGCTATTCTTACCCCGACCTTTTGTTGCCATTTGATCGCGTCATGAATGCGTTCGATAGCTTCGACGCGAGTATGCATTGGGCGAATTTGGTAATGCTGCTTATACGTCAGAAAGGGACGTGGCATGCGATCAAGTTTCGGCCAATTCCTGTTTGCTGAGACCTCGTTTGTGTATACTCGGCGATTGGTGTTGGTGGAAATAAAATATTTGGAAGTAGTTTTAACTTTTATTTGAGCACGGTCTCGTCAGTCCTCTCATTATTGCTGCTTTCGTGATTGAGTGATCCTTAGGATTTTTTGCACGTCAGTTCCAAATGGTCCGACTATTGTGGCTGTATGTGTACCGACATCGTTATATATTTTTATTGACTAGTCTGGAAATTAGGAACGAACAAATGATACTGTTTGGCTTAATTGTGCTTGTAATAAGTGACCGTCTTCTTGATTGGGTATTATTCGATTTCGAGATTTGGTTTCGTGAATTGTCATGGCGTATCGCTTGAAGGTCATGGAGGAAGGATGGGCAGATTACTTCAGGAAATGACCTGGAGCTCTTTTTAGTCCTTCTCCCTTCCCTCTCCACAATTCTATTTGTGTTTAGCACGGTGCTTTGCTATGAAAAATGATCCTGTCTTTCACATTGCTTAAGCAATCTTTGTGTCTTTCATTGGTAGGAGAAGGAGTGCATAGAATAATTGAA